CAAAAATATCTAAGCTCTAGGCCTTTTGGGTCTTTACAAGAAGGTATTTTAAGTTTTTACTATATGTACATATAGTGAAAATCAATGACCCCCGGGGCGGGGCCGATTTTGACCCCAGGGCTATAATTTGAACAATCTTGGTAGAGGTCTACCAGACAATGCCTTATGCAAAATATCTAAGCTCTAGGCCTTTTGGGTCTTTACAAGAAGATTTTTTAAATTTATTCTTTTAATTCCTTTTGGTTGCCATGGCAACCAGATTTCTGCATGGAATGAAATTCTTTGAACAACTTTGGAACCCCTTCACCCAAGGATCAATCCTGCCAAGTTTGGTTGAAATTGGACTAGTGGTTTTTCACAAGAAGATTTTTTAAGTTCACTATATAATCTATATAACACACACACACACACAAACAAACAAACACACGCACACACATACACACAGGTGAATCGCTATATGCCACCGCATCGCAGATGCTGCGGTGGCATAAAAACTATCATTTGTTAACATAAATTCCAAGATCAAGGGGAATAATTCTAGAAATAGTCATGCTAGAGTTATGAACCTTGTCACACAACATGTGTATAATGATAAGAAATATATATTTGAAGTTTGAAGTATTAATACCTTAAAAAGTAAAGAAGTTATAATATTTCTTAAAGAAAATCCTAAGTTCAAAGAAAGATAAATCTGTAAATATTGCTTCAAGAGTTACAAACATTGTCACATGAAATGTAATTGATGATAAGGAATAAGTATTTTAAGTTTGAGGCTGATACCTTTAAAACTAAAAAAGTTATATTAAAAAAATAACATTTTTCTAGTAAAAAAATCTAAGTTTATGGGGAGAAAATTCTTGCAATATTAGTGCTAGAGTTATGAACCTTGTCACATAAGATGTAGATGATGATAAGGTACTGTACATATATTTGAAGTATGAAGTTGATCCCTTTAAAAATAAATAAGTAACAGTAAAAAATAATATTTTTTAAGGAAAATTCTAAGTTCAAGGGGAGATTAATCTAAAAATATTGGTGCTAGAGTTATGAACCTTGTCACATAAGATGGGGATGATGATAAGGTACAAATATTTGAAGAATGAGGTTGATCCCTAAAGAAATAAAGAAGTAACAGTAAAAAATAGTACTTTTTAAGGAAAACTCTAAGTTCAAGGAAGATAAATCTGAAAATATTGGTACTACAGTTATGAACCTTGTCACATAAGATGTGGTTAATGATAAGGAACATATATTTGAAGTTTGAAGTCGATACCTTAAGAAACGACAAAGTTATAGTGAAAAATATTTTACTGCACCAAAACTTTAATAATAATTGAAATCTGGACGCGGATGCCGGGGCGAGTAGGACAGCTCTCCATATACTTCGTATAGTCGAGCTAAAAAATCATATTTCTAGAAAAACAATGAAGAGATTTCTTTTAAACTTTGCTTGTTTATTGAGCATAATGTATAACATCAACAGAAAGAAAAATATTTGGTACCTGTCACTTTTGTGAGAATTATTTCCCCTTTTTCATACACCAACACCTGTCAGCATACATTTCATTCAGTTTTCAAAGGAAACTTCAAAGTATAATGTTCAGTGTCAAAGAATTGTCAGAGTATTTATGCCATTCATTCAGTTTTCAAAGGAAACTTCAAAGTATAATGTTCAGTGTCAAAGAATTGTCAAAGTATTTATGCCAGAAACAGAATATTAAATCCAAATATAGAGAATAAGGGTACTGGCGCAATAATTTAGAGCAAAATGAAGGTGTTGGACACATTTCTGTTAAGAATTTTACATTTCAACATATTTTTTAAGGACTTCAAAAATTATGTGTCATAGCAAGCTTGAAGAGCTGGCCTGAAGGGCCTGCTTGCAAAGCGAGCTTTACGGTAACGGGAGTACCTGCTAGATAGTGATGGTTTTAAAAACTTTTGTCAGAAGCACTGAATTGACACATAGCAACTTTTCAAATTACAAGATAATCAGGGCTCTCGATTGACACGGGGATCCGGGTTTTGACTCGTGAACATCGGGAAATGCACAAATTTGACACGTGATAAAATCTGCTCAAGAGTCAATTTGCCACATCATGACATGGGATTTTCAGCTATGCAATAATAATTACCTTTAATCCACCCCTAATTACCTATCAAATCCTACATATGTTCAAATCTCACTCATTAAAAACGTCAGCAGGCAGTATAAGCCGTGTATAAAAGGCTTTACACACGGCAATTGTTTATACCCTGTGCACTGAAGCGCGACAATTCAGTGGCTGCAATTTGACAGTGCTAAATATAGCTCTACACAACTGATAAGAATTACATACTTGAGGTGTCAAATATTGATTGCTTTTGAAGGTTTATAATTATAGGTCTTTGATTTACTTGGAGTACCTGTGCATTTGTTATTTCTTTTTCCATTAAATATTCCAAGGTACATTTTGGTATTTAAAATTAATATGACATAGCATACCAGTAAAGATAATTTTTTTATATCTTATACATTTAATCAGATAAGCTGCTGCTTATTTTATTCTTTCACAGCAATTCATTTTTTGTTTTATTTGTGTTTTTTAGGTGGAGGAGGGGGGGATTATGGATTTTTTCTGTCAATTTAGACTTTGGAATCTCCAAAAATGACCTCCAATACAGTCATTTTTGTAACATAAAAATGATTCATGTAGTCAGATGACACTAGAAAAAAATGATTTGACTCATGAAAATTTTGGCCAAAGAGTCTTTGACTCGTGAAATTCTGACCCTACTGAGAGCCCTGATAATGATAAAAGCCGAGGTATTCTGATTGAAAACGGAAGCATAGACTGGTGTCCTGCGCACTTGTATGGGAACCATAATAGGACAGGGAACCAGAATAAACAGAAGCAGTGTATAAAGTACCAAATGACAGTTTTAAAACGGAAATAATGTAAAATAAAAATGAATGATTATTTTATACCATTTCACCGTAAAAGTAAATCGAGCTTGCTTCGAGGCCTTTCCTTTTTCATACGGGGAAGTCAAAGGCCGGGACCGCAAAGCGGGCCCGGGCTTTGACTTGCCCGACTATAGACTACATGTGTATATTTAAAAGGAAATCAAATGAAAATCAATTAAAAAATATATAGAATTCTATACCTATCAATGAAATTTTCAGTGTCAGTTCTACATGGGCGCCGCCATTTTCAATGTAACTCAATGATAAAAGGTGAGGTATGCCAATAACGGACAGTCGCAACTTTTCGTATTAATAATAATCATCGAGTGCTCTGAGTGAAAACGGAAGTAGTACATGAAATACCGAATGACATATTTTAAACGGAAAAATAAATGATTTTTTAACTGACTTCCCCGTTCATAGGCTTTGCCTAATTTCATATTATTATAAACATGAAAAAGGAGAAATAATTCTCACTATAGTGACAGTAACCAATAATTTTTCTTTCTGTTTATGTCATATATTTCGGGGAAGTCAAAGACCGGGCCCGCGAAGCAGGTTCAGGCTTTGGCTTGCCCGGCTATAGTCTACACGTGTATATTTAAAAGGAAATCAAATAAAAAACATTTAAAAAATATATAGAATTCTATACCTATCTATGAAATTTTCAGTGTAAGTTCTAGTCGGGCGCCGCCATTTACAATGTAACTCAATGATAAAAGGCGGGTTATTCCGATAATGGAACAAATCTCAACTTTTCGGATAAATAATAAACGTCGAGTGTTCCGAGTAAAAACGGAAGCGGTGCATGTAATACCGAATGACAATTTTAAAACGGAATGAATGAAAGGAATTTTAAACAACTTCCCCGTTCATAGGCTTTGCTAATTTCATATTAACAAATAAACAAAAAAGGTGTAAAAGAAATATCTTTATTATTTTTCTAGAAATAGAGCTATGTTTACTGTCATTAGTCCTATAAATATGACGTCGCTTTGAGATATTTTTGCTTCTGGGCAAAGCAACGTCATATCGAAATTGCTCAAAAACCCATAGCATGTTCCGCCAGAAAATCGGGCGGAACGAAAAACAATGAAGACAGCGTGTATTTACATAATTTTTGACCTATTTATGAACAAAACTAAAAAATAAATACCTTTTGTCAAAATAATTAAACTGTCACATCCGAAAAATCATGAATAAATCCTCTAATGTATTTCAATTCCTTTTACAGCCGATAAACAAATGGCGGCCGTAAAGTGCGCGAAATCTGATTGGCTAATTCAAATGCAAGCGTTTAACTGAGTCAGAACAATCTAACGGAATATTTTTTTAACGAAATAATTGCCCATGCACCGTCAGTGTGTTCGAATATATTTTTCCGTTCAAAAATTTGGAATCAATCTGTAAAGCACCTTGCTTAACCAGTATGGCTGATAGACAAAAATAGATTGATGTTTATATTTTATTTTAAATTGATTAGTACATCGTTTGAAAGTTTTTGTGTATGATTGAGCATGAAATTGAAAGAAAATATGATAAGCTTTTGAATAAAGCTTGAAAGGCAAGACAATAGACATTTTTGGAATTTATTATGATGCTATGCGTTTTTGAGCAATAACTATTAGACGTCAGGCTTGACCGACAAAAACTATAACAAGCCTGTAACGTCTAATATATTGGACTATACTGTCATAAGCCCGATGGGGCTTAATTTTTCACCAGCCTGTTAACATTTTCATCATAAACATAAATAGATAAACTGCATTATAAGAAGAATCATTTATTTAAAATATTCATAAAACATCAAAGTTGAAAGAAAATAGTTTTAAAAACAAGTTTTAGAATTTATTATGAAAAACATAAATCAGCCTCCCGACAACTTCCGGTTGTCAAAATAATTAAAGTTTTCATTTTTCCATGCAAGTACGTTACTTATCAAGCTCGTGCAGCTGTGTATTGTTGCACATTTATATTTCGGTCATGTTTACAACGAGTTTATGTCATAATACTAGAGTCTGTTGCAATGAAACAGGAATTAATTCGGTCAAACCTGAGGGATTGGTGGAAAGGCAGCCATCTTGAATTTTAGTGCTTATTCTTTTTCAAAATTTGTAAGAATTGCAAACCTGTGAAGCAGAACACTAAATTTTAGTCTATCGACACGGCACAGGAGGTTAATTAATTGATTTTATGTCATCGGTGGCCCATGATTTGTAAATAAAATAATTATATTCTTTTCCGTTTATTACATAGCAAGCAGTCTATAGATTCCTAGATAAAATAATTAAATGTATAACTTCAGTCATTTACAATTTAAAGATACTGTATTAATTATTTTCGAAGCACGGTGAATTTGTTAGGTGAAAGTTGTTTCGTCGAACTAACGGGTCGTCGAACTTATCTTATATGATAAAACATGTTGTAGTTTCAGTGAACTTAATTACAGGGGTACAATGCGAATGACTTTAGAAATGATCAATCACAATGAAAGTGACCTGCACCACCCGGGACGCCCGACGCACAGGCAAAAACTATTCCAATTGAGTTTACCAGACGATGCTTGAATAGAATTAACATACATATTGAAAATATATTATTGAAAATCGATGTCTTATAATATAAAAAGAACATAATATAAAAATGAGCAAAGGTAAAGGGCATTAAAAATTCTTGGAAATAACACTATTTTTAATATCAGATTTTAAAAGTTTCTCAGTCTATGGGAGGACACACCCTTCCAACCCCCCTCCCCCATCCTTCGCAGGGAAGATGTACAACTTTCCGCTCCATTTAATGTCGAAAATACGTGACACCCTACCCTGGGATTCAGGCGTTGATATTTTTTGCTTATTCCTAGCATACGCGCTATTTCATACTCGATCGTCAGAGATAACACAACACCTCTGGTTTTGATGGTGGATATGCCGAACAGAAGCACATAAAAATCGACAGACTGGAACCCAGGCTAGTGACACCCCTGATAACACACACAAGTACACGCCGTTAAATGTGTATTTTTTCGTACAAATTGGCGATGATTTACATCAGTGCAAATTCCATAGATTCTTAGCCAAATAAATAAATTTTGAGCCGGAAATAGGTCTCGGTAAAGCGGTCAATGAACAGCTAAATGTAGAGTAACCTAAGACAATGGTGATAAGGTGAGGTAACCCTCAAAAGGGCTGCTGTTGCCAAGAAAAGTGTCTGTCTCTAATCCGTCAATATGTATCCTGGTACCATTCCTCGTCGTCCCTGCCTACTTCCCTTGGAAACAGATATGACTTCGATAGCTGGTTCGCCGAAGTAAGAGATATTTTCCGTATTTCTATATAAGCTGTTTGTCCTCTACGGTCTTCCATCTATGTGTATGTAGAAGTGTACAAAGCTCGATGGATACGACCTCATCTTTAAGACTTCTCCCGATGTCATGTGTCTCTAAACGATATGCACGTATCGAGGAAAAGAGAGGGAAAATTTAGGTTTTTTTGTGCTTGTTTGTTGTTGTTGTTGGTTTGTTGTTTGTTTTTGTTGCAAAATCATGTTCAAGGACAGATAACTCAAATCTGTAGCAAGAAACAACCAGTTTGATTTAAAGTTTATGTTTGTTAGTTAATTCCCAATAATGGTGCAGCTATTTTTTTCTGAAATTCTATACGCATATTTTATATTATTTTTTTTACATGCAAAATGATGCAAATTTTCTTCGAATTATACCCTCTTTTTAAGAAAAATGCAATATGTCTACTCATCAAAGCGTAGCAATGAAAAATAGTTTGTAAAAATGTTACGCATTTTATCAATATTTCAATAATAATTGTTTAATAAATAATTGTAGTGGAAAGCGGCACCAGCCAATGGAAATGTAATTACATGTTCATTTTTAGCTATTAAGCAAAAGTTAAGCCAAAAGTAAAAGTGAAAAACACACCCTTTTCTAATTCTTAAATTAATTTGTATCATTTAAAACGTTTCCATACATAACTTTGTGATGAAGATAAAATCTATAGTGGTGCAATTTGTGCCTAGAGCAGGGTCTTCCAAATAGACATTGAATTACCATGCTTTGAGTACTAAGTAAGTAAGATATTGTGTAAAATATGCGAACGAAAGAAATAAGGGTTCTGGCTGGCATAAGAATATATTCATGTTTGTATTTTAATAGACAAATTAGGGTGTGCACATGCATTTTAGCATTGACCGATTGGCGTTATGGTTTTATAACATATATATTCCATTATAAAGATTACAATGTTTGTAGGAATGGATGGGGTGTTTTTTATCGCACAAGTGTGATGTGGATCAAAGTGACTTTTTCACTAAGTATACAAGCATTAAATAGCTTATGGCAGATTCAAAACGTTTGTGCTATCTGGATATAAATTGTCACATTGTAATTTTCAGGTTAATTCACGGGCAACATTAACAAACTGCATATTTTGTAGGATATGATGGTCATGGTTTCATGACCTATTAAGATAAGTGGCTACTTGTCTCCGGCGTAAACCGGTCAGCCATTATTACAGCCTAATATACATTGATTTAATAATAACTGGCATTTTGTACACTGGAATAACATTTAATTCTGAGTTTTTTTCACCATTTGAACTTTACAATTATACATACTTAGTTATTTAAAGGTTATTAACAATTCAGAGTGTCCAAAGCTTTGACAATATAATGATACAATTAAAATTCCTAGGGGTCATCAGAATTTTTAATAAGCTGATTTGGTTTTTACAGCGACTGGTAGCATTTGGATTTTATATTTTAGCATTATTGTTTGAGGTTTACATTTTAAACTTGCTCTTCGTTTGTCTATATAAGCAAAGTTAGATTGTGTTTTTTATGTTAGATTGTGTTATTTTATATAGGAAAGGAAAGTCTATCAATTTTTGATACAGTACGGCAATTTTTTACGGGTACATTTTTTTTCTATACGGTAACATTTTTTCTATACGGTAACATTATGACACTGATGTGTAAGACACTTATGTACATTAGAGCAATAAACTGTCAATAACGATGACAGAACTTTAAAAATTAGCCTTATAAAATTTAGTTGTATTTTTGACCTTCTTCAAATATTCTATGCGACACACCACGCTGTTTAACGCAGTCACCCGTTTATCGTCCTTTCCGCTTAATATCCATTGAACACATGGATGCTTACTGGAAATGGCAATTTTGATTTATTTCAGCATTTATTTTTAGCCCGATGCTTGTATGATAACACCAAAATCTTAATACATGTATGTTCTTATGAATTTGGCATTATTTCTAAATAACTTTTAACTTTTTTTTAAATATGAAGAAGAAGAATAAAAGACACACGCACGCATAAACACACACATACATACACACACAAACACGCACGGACACGCGAGCACGAAAAAAAACAACAACAAAAAAACAAACAAACCGAAAAACAACAAAAAAAGAGGAAAATATCTTGATATATTTGAACGATTTATTCCAAATAAAACTAATTGACTACATGACGAACAATAAGCCGTAAGTTTAAGGTGATTCTCTACAAACTTCACCGGAATAGGAGACGCTTTCCCATTGTGTTGAAATCGAGGCAAACTGTTCTGTGATCTGTTTTCGTGTGTTTTCGTCTAGTTTCGACAGACTGATACACTCGTCTTCATCGCTGTCGGTTCCCCACTGCTCGTGGCAACCCCCTCTGACTGTAACTGTCACATCCATTTCAGCGTCTGTAAAATAACACACGTGTATTATAAAGAGTCTTAATAGTTCACTTTTGAGAAGCATTTAAGAAACATTTGTTTAAAATATCAAGTACACGTACACGGAGTATTTCAACTATCGGAAATTATAAATGTACTAGGTATTGTAACATGGGTTTGTTTTAATGTAAGTGGCATGCATCATTTTTGAATTGTTTAGTTAATATAAGTGTTTAGTAAATCATGAGAAAAGCAACAAACTCCGAACAGAAAAATTATAGTTTCAAAACAGTGATACGGGAAACCTGCGACCAGCCATAAGTAACTTATACAGAAAGTAACGATTCTAAGGGTTTACTATCGGCATCCGTGACTTATTTATTCGTTATTATTTGTTTCTATATACTATTGCTTAAACCATAGCAGTTACTTAGAATAGGGCTGATTTTGTTAAATTTTTTTAGAGAAAAACAGAATCCCTAAAGAAAGCCCAACACGCCAAAATTGAAAATGTTGCTGGCTCGGTTTGATTGAGACTGCTCACGGACGATACTGCCAAGTTCAACCTACCGTCAACGCCACCTAGCACCGGCTTAAGCAGAATTCAACATTTATACACGAAAATGGTAAAATTTTGAATTTAGAAACATCCGCAGATGTGTTCATACGGCGGTTATTATGGAACCTTCAATGTAACACTTTCGTGCCATTCCAAGAAAACAATGGGCGGAACAAAATAAAATGGAATTTTGAAAGGGGATCTGAGGTTACGTCAAAAGGCAAATTTAAAAGCAGGCGACATATCCTGATTAAGGGTGATTATACAGTATTCAAGTAAGAATACTGGAACCACCCAAGTTTAAAAAGGCCAAATAGAGGAAACTATAAATATCATGCAAACATGGTATCATAACATGTAAACACAACAATAATGTCGTGCTTAACGATCTTCAAGGATCAAATATATAAAACATAATTAAAGTTATCCGATAATGAAAATGTAAATCACTAACTTGGCATCATTCCTTTTAGATTAGAAGCCGTCAGAGTTACTTTTGTAGTGAGGCATTTGTGCTCCGTCCAAGCGGGGAACTGCAGAGGTTCACATGTTTGCGGTTGTACAGTATTGGCCTCGCATGCCGGATTCTTCATACTGGAAATCATTGAATCTAGTGCTGTACTGATAAAAGATGGTACGTTTCTTACTTCGTAGCTGAGGTGCATACAGTCGGCGCAAGCCGCAACTTCCGATGATTCTGAACCTAGGAGGAGAGAAAAAGAATTCGTTACAGTTTTATTACTTATGACCAAAAGTCAGACTGCACGGATATGGTACCTCATCTGGCTCTATAATGGTGGAAAAGGCTAATCACCTTTCAGTTCTAACAAGGTAAGGGTTGCCTAAAATTGGTGTAAGTTTTAAAGAAACAATTAAGGTGTTTTTAGCGTCGCAACAACGCAAAATATGTCATATTACGATATTCCAGCTTTACAGGTGGAGGAAGACCTCGGTGCCCCCACATTATTTAAGGCACAAACGGGCATCTATAAGTAGGACTTCCGAGGCTCCGACCTTCCGTAAACTAGCTGTATAGCTTTCTCACATGAAAATTTGAAGACGCTGGCGCGGCTCGAATCTACAGCGGTAAGACGCAAGTGGTTTGAAGTCACTCGGTCACGGACGCCCCTAACATACAGTTTAATAAGTCAAAATTGCACGTTGTTCTCTAAATCCGCGAATAAGAAGAAAGTAAATCAAAAACTGTTAAATATGAAAAGCTTGTACAAATATTATTGAAAAATACAAAGAATTGAATGTATACTAGTACTTACTTTCTGCTTCTGCAAACAAAACAAGCACAGCAAAGATTGTTAGTAGTTGCCCAAACATTTTGTTCTGAAGGTCAGTTGTATTCAAGTAAATCTAGTGGCAGTATTTCCCCGAATGGTTGTTTCAGTGGAACAATGTGACCCTTTTTATAGTGTCGTGGTTCAGGCATGAAACAAAACATGGACAGGCATGAGAGTTTGTTATGGGATTAAAGAACTTTTCATGTATTCACAACTACACAACATTATTTGCTGGTTTTTACTATTATGGATAATATACTATAAATAACACCAAAATCCATTCACTATATATACGATATATTATAGTTATAAAACTCGCGTATATATCCCAGAGATTATCTTGGCATAAACAATATTCGAGAGTTAAGAGTTTGTTAAAATCAGGACGGTGAAATAACCTTATTGAATCATTTTGTGATTATATGAGGGGGTGGGGGATGGTCCTTACATTCAAAGAACCTCGGTCTCTTCATTTATGACCTTTGAATACTAGTAAAAGAGAAACATAAAAATGGCAGACTCTGAATTTATAATAATGGTGCAAAATTATGAAATCCATTCGCAAATAAAGTGAATAAAACTTTGATAGCGTGAATATATATGAAAGGGTTGGTTTGGTGCATTTTATTATTTTCCCAAAATGTTTTAAAACCCGGGAAGAATGAACCCCAAAAATTTTTCCCCCCGAAATTTTTTTAGCAATCTAAACCCCCTTTCTTTAGAAATGCCCGGTTTATAATTAAAGGGAAAAGAGACTCATCAGTAGCCATTTCAGGATATTATAAAATGTTAGTTACTATGATTAAAAACTTAATTTGGCTCTTTTTCTAAAGGTCACTTATTATTGAGACAGAAATTGGCGTTTGATTTATTTTGTACTGAAATTGAAATAATTAGTTTCAAGGTTCACGAACTCAGATGAGCCAAAATATTTCTGTTGGAAATCAAACTTGAATAACATGTGTTAAGACTTTATAGTTCACATGTTACGTGCGACACCACATTTCTACTCGAAAAGTGGACGGACATAATGGGACCAGAAATAATTTTTCGAGACAAATGTTCCATTTCATGACGGTCAAGATCATTAACTTTACGAAATTTAAAAGTTCTGTGTTGTGTGTGATGTTGCCGTTAGTCCGTTGGCATAATTTGTCTGTCAGGAATATTCTGGTATTTTGCCGACATTAATTAAGGCGAAAACTAGACTGTATGTATATGTTAGTGTTCATCCGTGCTGTTCTACAGAAATTAGAAACTTCGACGGGAGCGATAGCGACAGGAGAATGTTTCTAATTCTGTAGAACAGCACGGATGAATACTAACATATTAAGTGTCAAGCTTTATTTGGCCTCATTATCGTTTACTTTACTACGTCACTAATATGCGGTTTTATGAAGTACTATGAAAAATAGAAGTCGACTATGGACTGAATTCGATATAGTATCGACTTTTGTACTTCTATGAAAATTAACGCACACATTTTTTAAGAAATACAGCGTTTTCATTGGATGACAAATAAAGTTGGACACTAAATGGTCATTTTAGCTCATATCTCGCAATTTTTGACTTGTTCATGTGAGCGCTTGGCTCATTTCCACAAAACCCCATATGACGGCATGCTTTCGTCGTTAAATATTTCCTTTAAATGTAGTAACCTTAGATCGGGTTTCTAGTTAGCCGGGGATCGACGTTCACAATATGAAATTCTGTTATGAAATAAACCGATGATCTTTTGCAAAGGTTTGAGTCAAACTTTGACTATCATTCTGGCTAGCCGTTTTCAACTAGAACCGAATTCCAGCCAGCAGGAACAACTGGAGCCGCCGGAACCAGCTTCTGGATAGCCGGACTAGGCAAAAAGTGTTCTGGCTTATCCGGCTGTCTGGCTAATCTTGCGAGATCAAGAAAAAGACTAGAAATATGGAACACATGGAAACTTTTGAAAGGCAATCTTGTCAACAATGGGTTATTTACTTAAATATTTATGGTTGCCATGATGACTGTTCTTGCTATTGTCGTACAATGCATTATTTAATTTATAAATTCTGGCAGGTTACTAAAACTATGCCCAGAAGTTTGGATGTTGAGGGAAGTGTAATAATCAGACTATTTTGAATCTATTACAAAAAATAAAGAGACGATGTTGATCGAATGAATTGATGTTAATGACAATTGTAGTAAACTGTTGAACGGTGCAAGGGAGATAATTATTATGCATATTAGTCAGAGATGTGTGTAGAAAAGAACTTTTTAACATTTGACATATTAAGTTGCACTTAAAGTAAACTTACCCACTATAGAGGCAACACAACTATATTAAGCCACAGAATAACCTTACCCACTTACCATACCTACTGTGTCACAGAGGCAACCATACCAACAAGCTCACAAAGCCAACCATATCACCAATCTCACAGAGGCAACCTTACCAACAACCTGTTACCTCACAGTGCGAACCAAACCAACAACCTCACAGTGCCAACCATACCAACAATCTCACATAGCCAACCATATCAACAACCTCACAGTGCCAACCATACCAACAACCTCACAGAGGCAACCATACCAACAACCTCACAGTGCCAACCATACCAACAGTATCACAGAGGCAACCATACCAACAATCTCACAGTGCCAACCATACCAACAACCTCACATAAGCGAACCAAACCAACAACCTCACAGTGCCAACCATACCAACAATCTCACATAGCCAACCATATCAACAACCTCACAATGAAAACTATACCAACAACCTCACAGTGCCAACCATACCAACAACCTCACAGTGAAAACCATACCAACAATCTTACATAGCCAACCATATCAAACAACCTCACAGTGCCAACCATACCAACAACCTCACAGTGCCAACAATACAAACAACCTCACAGTGCCAACCATACCAACAACCCCACAGTGCCAACCATACCAACAACCTCACATTGCCAACCATACCAACAACCTCACAGTGCCAACCATACCAATAGCCTCACAAAGCCAACAATATCAACAACCCCACAGTGCCAACAATATCAACAACCTCACAGTGCCAACCATACCAACAATCTTACAGAGGCAACCATACCAACAACCTCACAAAGCCAACCATACCAACAACCTCAGTGCCAACCATATCCTCACAACCTCACAGTGCCAACCATACCAACAACCTCACAAAGCCAACCATATCAACAACCTCACAGAGGCAACCATATCAACAACCTCATAGTGCCAACCATACCAATAACCTCACATTGCCAACCATACCAATAACCTCACAGTGCCAACCATACCAACAATCTCACATAGCCAACCATATCAACAACCTCACAATGAAAACTATACCAACAACCTCACAGTGCCAACCATTACCAACAACCTCACAGTGAAAACCATACCAACAATCTTACATAGCCAACCATATCAACAACCTCACAGTGCCAACCATACCAACAACCTCACAAAGCCAACCATATCAACAACCTCACAGTGCCAACAATATCAACAACCTCACAGTGCCAACCATACCAACAATCTTACAGAGGCAACAATACCAACAACCTCACAAAGCCAACCATACCAACAACCTCAGTGCCAACCATATCCTCACAACCTCACAGTGCCAACCATACCAACAACCTCACAAAGCCAACCATATCAACAACCTCACAGAGGCAACCATATCAACAACCTCATAGTGCCAACCATACCAATAACCTCACATTGCCAACCATACCAATAACCTCACAGTGCCAACCATACCAACAATCTCACATAGCCAACCATATCAACAACCTCACAATGAAAACTATACCAACAACCTCACAGTGCCAACCATACCAACAACCTCACAGTGAAAACCATACCAACAATCTTACATAGCCAACCATATCAACAACCTCACAGTGCCAACCATACCAACAACCTCACAGTGACAACCATACTAACAACCTCACAGTGCCAACCATACCAACAACCTCACAGTTTCAACCATACCAACAAATTCACATTGCCAACCATACCAACAACATCACAGTGCCAACCATACCAATAGCCTCACAAAGCCAACCATATCAACAACCTCACAGTGCCAACAATATCAACAACCTCACAGTGCCAACCATACCAACAATCTTACAGAGGCAACCATACCAACAACCTCACAAAGCCAACCATACCAACAACCTCAGTGCCAACCATATCCTCACAACCTCACAGTGCCAACCATACCAACAACCTCACAAAGCCAACCATATCAACAACCTCACAGAGGCAACCATATCAACAATCTCATAGTGCCAACCATACCAATAACCTCACATTGCCAACCATACCAACAACCTCACAGAGGCAACCATACCAACAACCTCACAGAGAAAACCATACCAACAACCTCACAGTGCCAACCATACCAACAACCTCACAGAGGCAACCATACCAACAATCGTACATAGCCAACCATATCAACAACCTCACAGAGGCAACCATACCAATAGCTTCACAGAGGCAACCATACCAACAACCTAACAGTCAATCTCACAAAGCCAACCATACCACCAATCTCACAGAGGCAACCTTACCAACAACCTCACAGTGAAAACCATACCAATAACCTCACAGTGCCAACCATACCAACAACCTCATAGTGCCAACCATTCCAACAATCTCACATAGTCAACCATATCAACAACCTCACAGAGGCAACCATACCAATAGCTTCACAGAGGCAACCATACCAACAGTATCACAGAGGCAACCATACCAACAACCTCACAGTGCCAACCATACCAACAACCTCACAGTGCCAACCATACCAACAAATTCACATTGCCAACCATACCAACAACCTCACAGTGCCAACCATACCAATAGCCTCACAAAGCCAACAATATCAACAACCCCACAGTGCCAACAATATCAACAACCTCACAGTGCCAACCATACCAACAACCTCACAAAGCCAACCATACCAACAACCTCACAGAGGCAACCATATCAACAACCTCACAGTGCCAACCATACCAACAACCTCACAGTGCCAACCATACCAACAACCTCACAGAGGCAACCATACCAACAACCTCACAGAGCCAACCATACCAACAACCTCACAGAGCCAACCATATCAACAACCTCACAGTGCCAACCATACCAACAACCTCACAGAGCCAACCATACCAACAACCTCACAGAGGCAACCATACCAACAACCTCACAGAGGCAACCATACCAACAACCTCACAGAGCAACCATACCAACAACCTCACAGTGCCAACCATACCAACAACCTCACAGTGCCAACCATACCAACAATCTCACATAGCCAACCATATCAACAACCTCACAGAGGCAACCATACCAACAATCTTACACAGCCAACCATATCAACAACCTCACAGAGGCAACCATACCAATAGCTTCACAGAGGCAACCATACCAACAACCTAACAGTGCCAACCATACCAACAATCTCACATAGCCAACCATATCAACAACCTCACAGAGGCAACCATACCAACAATCTCACATAGCCAACCATATCAACAACCTCACAGAGGCAACCATACCAATAGCTTCACAGAGGCAACCATACCAACAGTATCACAGAGGCAACCATACCAACAACCTCACAGAGGCAACCATACCAACAACCTCACAGAGGCAACCATACCAACAATCTCACAGAGGCAACCATACTAACAACTTCACAGTGCCAACAACCTCACAGAGACAACCATACCAACAACCTAACAGTGCCAACCATACCAGCAATCTCACATAGCCAACCATATCAACAGCCTAACAGAGGCAACCATACCAACAACCTCACAGAGGCAACCATACCAACAATCTCACAGAGGCAACCATACTAACATCACAGAGCAACCATACCAACAACTTCACAGTGCCAACAACCTCACAGAGGCAACCATACCAACAACCTAACAGTGCCAACCATACCAACAATCTCACATAACCAACCATACCAATAGCTTCACAGAGACAACTATTCCAACAGCCTCACAGAGGCAACCATACCAACAACCTCACAGAGGCAAACATGCCAACAACCTCACAGAGCCAACCATACCAACAACTTCACAATGCCAACAACCTCACAGAGGCAACCATACCAACAACCTCGGATGCAACCATACCAAATGCCTCACAGAGGCAACCATACCAACCACTCTACGGAGGCAACCATATCAACAACCTCACAGTGCCAACCATACCAACAACCTCAGAGGCAACCATACTCAATGCCTCACAGAGGCAACCATACCAACCATCTTACGGAGGCAACCATATAAACAACCTCACAGTGCCAACCATACCAACAACTTCACATTGCCAACCATACCAACAACCTAACAGAGGCAACCATACGAACAACCTCAGAGGCAACCTTACCAATAGCTTCATAGGGGCAACCATACCAACAGCCGCACAGAGGCAACATTACCAACAACCTCACAGAGACAACCTTACCCCCTGCCTCAGAGGCAACTATAACTGTTGATTCAAGAGGCAACCATACTAATTTGGCCTAAAAGGCTCCATTTTCTTCCCCTAAACAAGATACCGGTAAGAGGGCCATATGGTCCAAAATCTCTCCCTTTAGTGAAGGCGTTGGTAGGTGCAGGACAAATTTTGACTAAGGAGGCGTGATTTATATATCTCAGTAGAAAACCACAAGGTGATGCTTCATGCAAAACAAATAATTGCTCCGGAGAGGTTCTATGTTTTTCCTGTACATGTCTGCATTAACAAAGTTCTTGAAGCCCTCTTGACAAAAGTTTCAGCTCTAGATATTGTGGTATTTGAATAGAACACTCATTTGCATTTTTATATACATGTAAACCAGAAAACATATGTGCCATGGGGAGGAGCCAGATTTGATTTCAGAGAATAAAATGAACAATTTTGGTTCACTAGACACGATTTCATGCCAAAAATTTGAGAAAAAATGACTTCCAAGTTGGACCAATTTTGACCCCTTTGCTATAATTTTAAAAGTTTGATAGAGGTTCACAAGAAAAGGTTTCATGCACAAGCCCATGCAGATTTTCAAGAGGATTTTTTAAAAATCTTTTTGTTTTGCTGCCATGCAATTAATAGTTCTTCATGGAAATGATTTTTTCTATGACAGAACTTTGGAAGAGCCTCAAGTAAGGAAAAGTTCTGCCAATTATAGGCAAAACTAGAAATGTGTCCATAGGACACGGATGCCCCCACACGCCACTGTTCTGTCGATCTTATGTCTCTAGGTCAAATATTTTTTGGACAAAAAATCAACAAAGGGCCATAATTCTGTTAAATTTGGTCGCAGCAAAAATTCTTTCCTTTACTAACATCTACACATTAAGGTTGTAAATCCCTGGAAGTTTAAGCAAAATCTGCCATCCGGTTTAAGAGGATTACGTTCACAAAATTTCTACAAAGTATATAATGAAACTAGAAATGTGTCCATAGGACACGGATGCCCCCACATGCCACTGTTCTGTCAATCTTATGACTCTAGGTCAAATATTTTTTAGACTACATGTGCCACAAGTTGAAAAATAAAAATCAACAAAGGGCCATAATTCTGTAAAATTTGGTCACAGCAAAAATTCCTTCCTTTACTACCATCTACACATTAAGAATGTTCATCCCTGGAAGTTTAAGCAAAATCTGCCATCCGGTTTAAGAGGAGTTGCTTTCACAAATTTCTTTATGGTATATAGTGAAAAAATTAACAAAGGGCCATAATTCTGTTAAATTTGATTGCAGCAAAAATTCCTTACTTTACTACCATCTACACATTAAGGTTGTTCTTCCCTGTAAGTTTAAGCAAAATCTGCCATCCGGTTTAAGAGGAGTTGCGTTCACAAAATTTCTTTATGGTATATTGTGAAAAAATTAACAAAGGGCCATAATTCTGTTAAATTTGATTGCAGCAAAAATTCCTTACTTTACTACCATCTATACATGAAGGTTGTTCTTCCCTGTAAGTTTAAGCAAAATCTGCCATCGGGTTTAAGAGGAGTTGCGTTCACAAAATTTCTATATGGTATATAGTGAAAAAATCAACAAAGGGCCATAATTTTGTTTAATTTGGTCGCAGCAAAAATTCCTTCCTTTACTACCATTTACACATTAAGGTTGTTCTTTCCTGTAAGTTTAAGCAAAATCTGCCATCCGGTTTAAGAGGAGTTGCGTTCACAAAATTTCTACATAGTATATTGTGAAAAAATCAACAAAGGGCCATAATTCTGTTAAATTTGGTCGCAGCGAAAATTCCTTCCTTTACTACCATCTACACATTAAGGTTGTTCATCACTGTAAGTTTAAGCAAAATCTGCCATCCGGTTCAAGAGGAGTGGCGTTCACAAGATTTCGGGACGTACGGACAGACAGACGTACGGACAGACGGACGGACAAGTGCAACGCTCTATGCTCCCACTTTGTGGGGGCATAAAAATCAACAAAGGGCCATAATTCTGTTAAATTTGGTTGCAGCAAAAATTCCTTCCTTTGTGCCATCTACACATTAAGGTTGTTCATCCCTGGAAGTTTAAGCAAAATCTGCCATCCGGTTTAAGAAGAGTTGCATTCACAAAATTTCTACATAGTATATAGTGAAAAAATCATCAAAGGGCCATAATTCTGTAAAATTTGGTCGCAGCGAAAATTCCTTCCTTTACTACCATCTACACCTTAAGGTTATTCATCCCTGTAAGTTTAAGCAAAATCTGCCATCCGGTTTAAGAGGAGTTGCCTTCACAAAATTTCTACCTAGTATATAGTGAAAAAATCAACAAAGGGCCATAATTCTGTTAAATTTGGTCGCAGCAAAAATTCCTTCCTTTACTACCATTTACACATTAAGGTTGTTCATCCCTGTAAGTTTAAGCAAAATCTGCCAACCAGTTTCAGAGGAGTTGCGTTCACAAAATTTTACATAGTATATAGTGAAAAAATCAACAAAGGGCCATAATTCTGTTAAATTTTGTCGCAGCAAAAATTCCTTCCTTTACTACCATCTACACATTAAGGTTGTTCATCCCAAATCTGCCATCCGGTTTAAGAGGAGTTGCATTCACAATATTTCGGGACGTATGGACTGACGGACAAGTGCAACGCTATATGCTCCCACATTGTGGGGGCATAAAACAAATGGCCTAGACGTTCATGAGGAGCAAAGTTGTTAAAAGGAAAATGTTAATCACGTACAATCGATTCACTACAATAGCTCACAATGTGCTATAGTGAGTTTATAAAACACAAACAAAACACAATCATACCCAGTATATTTTATTGGACAACAGCAGCAGTACATACTATTTTAATGAAGAAGAAAAAAGTAAAATGAAAAATACTAAACAGCTAAAAAAAAAAATGCACAAGGCCAGGTTAATTCAGCAAGTGTTCTCAGCACTTATATATCCATTCTGTTCTGAAAGATTTCCCTAGAGATAGGGGTAGAAAAAGTGCTAAAAGGTGAAATAATATAGACGTTGTAAATATTGTGATATATAATCACACTGGAGATCTTCCATGTATCTTTTTAAAATGTAAAAAATGTAAAATGTCTATTTTCAAATAAGCAAGTATTTTATATGTAAAATTTGTGCATTATATATTACCCAAGAAAAATGAAATTCAAATACAAATCCCAAAATAGTTCTAAAATCTAAACATGGATGAAATAATGACTCACTTAGTAGTTTACTAGTAAAAAGATATGGTGAAATCCTTTTACCATAAACAAGGATAATTCTTGGTTTGCTTTTTTTTTATTTTTTTTTTAATTTTTAACAAGCACATCTCAAATGGTTCTTCTTTACATGGTTTAAATTCTTAAATTTTAGTTTTTGAGATGTTAGCTTTAACTTTAAGTTATAATACATTTGACTCATATGGTGTTTTAGTGAGCCAATCTTTTAATTAAAAACATACGAAACATTTAAATTGAAACTTGAAATATTACTACCAAAATGTATGTATAGTAGATAGAAAATTACATGGGACTTCACATCTAATATTTGGTGTTTTTTATGGTAATGGATTTTGAAAATGAAACACTTTTTTTATCTTATAGCATCTGAAACATACACATCTAAAGGGAAAGAGTAAAGAAATAAAAACATCTTCGACTAAATATGAAGCCATATCATGTGAATTCAGTGCAAATAAGTCAATGGTCTGCCATGTCACCAACGACGAAGCCCTCATTAAACGAGGAAGGTAGCATGTCTTCAAAGAGGGATGGGACGCATGGGTCATGCACACTGTGCCCGGTCTTCATGGGTGGCACCTTATGTATGGGAATGCCACCTGAGGCCTTTGTGTGCAAATCTGTATACACTTCATTCCTGCAATTTGAATAATAACACAATTAATAAAAAATACAACCAAAAAAAAAATAAAAAAAATTTTACCACTGCATTTTCTATCTTCATTTACTTCAATTTGGTGAGAAAACTGATTCAGTCAAAATAATTCCAAAATTATTAATAGTAAACCTTCACATATGTATGTCAAAATATTGCTTTGTGAAAGTTGGACACTAGCAATAGTTAGAGTCTAGCAATGTTAATCATTTATTGAACAAGAAACATGGCAATGCCATGAAACCAGGTTTTCAATTATCACCATTGTAGATAAATATGTTGTATTTGAAATACAAATACAAGCAACAAAGAATGTAACTATGTGCAATGTAAAACATGAATAATGTAGGAGGAATTGCCACTGAGTAGTGTTCACTATATATTCTGTATAAGGAAAAAAAACAAAGGGCCATAATTAGGTAAAAAATTATCCAATCACAAAACTCCGACAAAATGTGCCAGGGCACTTGATGACAAAGCTTCTGTGAAAGTTTGAACAAAATCCGTTGAAAAATGTAGGACGAGTTCAGCACAGAAGAATTTGTTCACTATATATTGATAATTCTGTATAAGGAAAAAAGATCAAAGGGCCATAATAAGGTCAAATATTATCCAATCACAAAACCCCGACAATATGCGCCAGGGCACTTGATAACAAAGCTTCTGTGAAAGTTTGGTCAAAATCCGTTGAGAAATGTAGGAGAAGTTGCGCACGATAGAAATTGTTCACTATATATTAAGTATAAGGAAAAAAAAAAAAAGGGCCATAATTAGGTCAAATATTATCCAATCACAAAACCCCGACAATATGCCCCAGGGCAATTGGTGACAAAGCTTCTGTGAAAGTTTGGTCAAAATCCGTTGAGAAATGTAGGAGGAGTTGCGCAAAGAAGAAATTGTTTACTATATATTCTACATGTATATAGGGAAAAAAAACAAAGGGCAGTAATTAGGTCAAATATTATCCAATTGCAAAACCCCGACAATATGCGCCAGGGCACTTGATGACAAAGCTTCTGTGAAAGTTTGGTCAAAATCCGTTGAGAAATGTAGAAGGAGTTGCGCACAGAAGAAATTGTTAACGCCCGCCCGTCTGCCCGCCCATCAGCCCGCCGACATACCTCAATCTAATAACCAGTTTTTTCCTTCGGAAAACCTGGTTAAAAAGTAATACTTATTAATTTAAGACACACAGACCATAAACTATGCACAATATCATCAAATTCTAATAGTAACAAGAGCTGTCGGTAGGACAGCAACGCTTGACTATTCTTCGTGCTTGATAGTAAAAAAATGCCTGATACAGTTACCTCCTCCTGTTTACAGGTTGGGGTCATGATGGTGAACAAGTGTGCAAAGTTTCAAAGCCATATATCAATGGACTTTGAAAATATTTGAACTATTACAAAAACTTTAACGTAAATTCTAAGTTGAAAAAGGGGCATAATTCTGTCAAAATGCTTAATAGAGTTACCTCCTCCTGTCTACAGGTTGGGGTCATGATGGTGAACAAGTGTGCAAAGTTTCAAAGCCATAAGTCTATGGACTTTGAAAATATTTGAACTATTACAAAAACTTTAACGTAAATTCTAAGTCGAAAAAGGGGCATAATTCTGTCAAAATGCTTGATAGAGTTACCTCCTCCTGTCTACAGGTTGGGGTCATGATGGTGAACAAGTGTGCAAAGTTTTCAAAGCCTATAAGTCTATGGACTTTGAAAATATTTGAACTATTACAAAAACTTTAACGTAAATTCTAAGTCGAAAAAGGGGCATAATTCTGTCAAAATGCTTGATAGAGTTACCTCCTCCTGTCTACAGGTTGGGGTCATGATGGTGAACAAGTGTGCAAAGTTTCAAAGCCATATGTCTATGGACTTTGAAAATATTTGAACTATTACAAAAACTTTTAACGTAAATTCTAAGTCGAAAAAGGGGCATAATTCTGTCAAAATGCTTGATAGAGTTACCTCCTCCTGTCTACAGGTTGGGGTCATGATGGTGAACAAGTGTGCAAAGTTTCAAAGCCATATGTCAATGGACTTTGAAAATATTTGAACTATTACAAAAACTTTAACATAAGTGGTTACGCCGACGCCGACGCTCGGGTGACTGCAATAGCTCTACTTATTCTTATCGAATAGTCGAGCTAAAAATTAAAAAAAATATCATCATTATGTATGTTTACCATTTCTCTTCAAGGCAGTAGTAGACTTTAGCTGGTCCCTGCATACCATTAAAACTCGAAGCAGCTGCCACTGTGTAGGCCCCCATGTCGCAGAAATAGAGCCACTCCCCGATGTCGTGCATTGGTAGCTGCACTGACTGAAGGATGCAGTCTATACCGTCGCATGTCGGGCCCCATATACTACTCTCGTAGGTCATGTCATCCTCTGTAGACTATGTTTCAAATACATAAATAGAGTTAGGTTAATAAGACAGTGCAGATGAAAATCCGGCAAGAAATTGCATCACTTAGCTGAAATAAATTTATGGACCATCTGCCCTTCTGCCATGCCATCTTAATTTGAAACTGAACAAGTTTAAGGCACATTACTTTGATAGTTTCTGGGAAAATAATTAAACAACAAGAGCACCGCTAGGCGGAGCATTATATGCCCGAAAGTACTCTTTCTTTTAGTGAGGAAGACATGGGAATTAAATACAGTATTACCTCCTTCAAAAACCAATCCTCCTTTATAGCTGAAGAACATTCATGTATATATACAGTTGCTGTTTTCAAAGCACCACAATCAAGTTGTTATCTTGTAAGTAAAAATGCTATAACGGATGGACACCAAGACGTCAGGGGTATAAAGCTGTTAATCCTATAAAATTTTACAGCTGTAGTTCGATTAATACTTGAGTTATTGAGCGAAAACTGTTTCCAGTTTAAAGGTGATAGTAATCTCTTGATCTTTGACCTTGTGACCTCAAAATCAATAGGGGTCTTCTACCCAATATGGACAATCATCCTATGAAGTTTGAATACTGTGGGTAAAATGGAACTTAAGTTATGCTTCGGAAACCATTTTACGTATTAAGCTAATAGTGACCTTGACCTTTAACCTTGTGACCCTAAAATCAATAGGGTTTTTTTACCCAATATGGACAATCATCCTATGAAGTTTGAATACTGTAGGCCAAATGGAACTTAAGTTATGCTCCGGAAACCATTTTCAGTATTTCGCTAATAGTGACCTTGACCTTGACCTTGTGACCCCCAAAATCAATAGGGGTCTTCTACCCAATATGGGCAATCACCCTATGAAGTTTGAATACTGTGGGCCAAATTGAACTTAAGTTATGGTCCAGAAACCATTTTCAGTATTAAGCTTCTAGTGACCTTGACCTTTGACCTTGTGACCCCAAAATTAATAGGGTCTTCTACTTAATATAAGCAATCATCCTATGAAGTTTTGAATACTGTGGGTCAAATGGAACTTAAGTTATGCTCCGGAAACCATTTTCAGTATTTAGCTAATAGTGGACCTTGACCTTTGACCTTGTGACCCCAAAATCAATAGGGGTCTTTACCCAATATATGGGCAATCATCCTATGAAGTTTGAATACTGTGGGCCAAATGGAACTTAAGTTATGCTCCGGAAACCAAATTGCTAACAGACGGACGGACGGACGTACGGACGGACGGACAGACGGACGCCAGGGGGTATAACATAATATGCCCGAAATTCTTTCGGGCATATAAAAAGGGTAACCAAGGCTACAAATTTAAGTTGAAAAAGGGACATCACTTTGCATAAAATAATTTTAGGTTTATCTGCCCTTTTGAAATAGCAGCGTCTTATATAGCAGCGTCATATATACCAAGTTTGAAGTCAATAGCTTTTATAGTTTTTTGAGAAAATGGACCCTAACAAAAAGGTTAACCAATGCCCGCCAGACTGTCATGAACTACAAACAGTATAAATCCAGGTCAGAATGCATGAAAGTCTAGACTTGTCTACCTTTTTAGCAAACAAATCTTGATCATATTACCTCCCTTGAAAAATGTTTGTTACTTTCGAGCACAGTAACAAATAGTACATTCGTACAATAAAATCATATAAACATTTGTGCTCTAAGCATTTAAAGACATTTTTTTTTTGTCTTTCTGTTTTTCTCAACCTCAACTCAGTTGTTAAATATCTTAAATTTCTTAATTCATTCTGGAATGATTATCATTTCATCTAAAACATCTGACAATATGTATGCACATACCTCGTCGAAAAGGTTTACAAACTGCTTAGCAAAAAAAAAAAGCTCTGGAATTCAACACTTACTTTGAGGGTGTTGGCTACGACAGTTTGATGGTCGAACAGGATACAATTAAATGACCCATACACCCCATCATTAACATAGTACATGATAGCTGGCTCATCACACATGCTTGGGGCATCCATCAGCTCTCCATCTATAATGTATCATTTGTACAAAAATTTATAAAAACTTGTAACCAATAAGTTATTTCTTTTATTTTACATCTTAGGTCATATGGTGCCAAAACAGGAGAGATGATTTCGGCTACCGTAGGGTGTTACAAACTTAAAGCAACACCAGGAATCAAGACCAGTCCACGTACTGGAGAGACTTCAGTAATTCCAACCCATTTATTTGTCTTTACGATCACGCATGGTTAAACGGTGGCTGCAATTCTGATGCTTCAACCTGTAAAAGCAACGCCTCAGCCACATGGGGGTTACCTTAAATTACATTTAAGTCGCAAGGATAGTATATATATACACTGCTAATGCCAACCTCTGAAGAATCCACAACTAATACATCAATTGAGATTTCATAGAAATTCTAGCACATCAAATAATTATTAATCCATTAATAGAAGTAAATGAGAAACATTAAAGTGTGACATGATTGCAGAAGGACTTATCTGCAAGTTTATGCCCCATCCACAGACTTCTGGGGTCAAAATAAACTCATTTAAGTCAGTTTTTATTAAATATGTTCAAAACATGCAAAAAAGCAGTAAAATAGAACCTCAGAAGTTTATAACACTTAACCTGCGGTACCAAAAGTGATCAGCCATTACTAAAAGTATAGAGCCAGGCCAGTCTAAACAACCGTCCACGGGGACCAGGTTAATTACTGTTGATAGGTAAATAGTTGCATTCTGATAATGAAATCTTTCAATTTTCAAATGGACTGTTCCAAGCAATATAAATCTTTTATACTAATTCAGCATGTTAAGGGTTAGAGACTGATAAGTCATGACCTACTTTCACCATGTTGGTCCCTGGCTACAACACGTTTAGCGATGATATTGACACCGAGGGTGAATGCTGAGGCAACCATGTAGCGACCTGGCTCGGCAATGATTTCCACGCCTTCCTCTTCAGGGAAGTACTTGTCTAATGCCATGTTCACTACATTAGCTATCTGAATAAAGAAATGAAATTACAAATTAAAATATCATTTAAATATATTTATATGGGCTATACAGGTTTTTCGAATCAGAGGTTATAAAGAAATCTTATCTTAAACTCAAAATCTCAGCCATTTGATTGGTCAGAAAAAGGCACAGAATCTACATTGACCAATGAAAATCCTGAGATTTGAGTCAGAGCTCAGAAAAGTTTGATAACCTCCAGGCAGTAATCATTGATTACTTAATTTGTACACTTGACAACATTCTTACTCATTAATAGAACAATTTTTAAGTTTTCATTAAAATTTACAAATAACTGGAGACGTGTTGCTTTTAACACAACTGTTATGACATAATGTAAATGTCTATACTCTACCTCTTGGAAAGTGACGGGAGCATCTTCTTGTCCTGGGTAACCACCACCAATGTCAAGCAGTGTCATGTTGAAGCCCATGTCAGCTGCAAGGTCAAATACTTCCCGAGCCTGCTGAATGGCCACTGAGAAGGCTTCCGCCTCAGCACAACCACTGCCTACATGGAAACTGAAAACAATGTTAAAGATATAAATATCTTGTATACATGTAAACTGTGTCTACATGTAAACTGAAAACAATGTAGAAGATATGAAAATATAGTCTACATGTAAACTGAAAACAATGTTAAAGATATGAATATCTTGTCTACATGTAAACTGAAAACAATGTTAAAGATATGTATATCTTGTCTACATGTAAACTGAAAACAATGTGGAAGATATGTATATCTTGTCTACATGTAAACTGAAAACAATGTGGAAGATATGAATATCTTGTCTACATGTAAACTGAAAACAATGTTAAAGATATGTATATCTTGTCTACATGTAAACTGAAAACAATGTTAAAGATATGATAATCTAGTACACACATTCTTGATATTTGTAATACAGGGTGTTACAGACAATTCATTGACTTCTCGGGTTTTGCTGACACTACAATACAGTCGAACTTCGTTCGCTCAAACTCGGAGGGCCTGTGCAAATTTGTTCGAGCGATCGGTAGTTCGAGCGAACCGAGGTTGAACAATAATTACATAGAACATAGGCTTAATATAAGGTTTTCCAGCTTATATCGGTCAAATGATACATCTGTTTGTCGAATACTTCGTATTAAGAATTATTATCCTATTGAAAACACTATTAACGGTGCACGGTCTTAATCTATATTCATGCATATTGTAATTGGTTGAGTTCGATCGGGCGATCATTATCTAAACTGTGAACAGTGTTCAAGTTTATTATGGGATGAATTTTATTTTAAACAACGAATCGATAAAATATTAAAAAACAACATTTTACAGCAGGATCTATTTGTAGTCATTTACTAAAATAAACACACGTTCAAGTATCATTCTATTAATAGATTACACTGTTACAATTCACGTTACATGAACCACGGTTGTAATTAAAGCCGTACGGGTAAACGTCATTTACTTATTTATTTACTTTTGGCATTTCAGGAGTTACTTTCTTTTTATCGTTACTAAAGACTGCAAATTAACAATTGTATCATAACAAACAAATCGGTAAAACACCTTTTATTTTGTATCAATTAACCATAATTGCCTTTGTCACGATCACGAGGTGTTAAAAACATGTGTCGCCGACTGTCAATTATTTAGAACATGTCGACCCGCAACTTTTGTTGTCTGTTTGAGTTCGACCGAATAGGTGTGATTTACACTATATTTCTGCCGAAGGGACCGGAGATCAGGTTCGAGAGTTCGAGCGATGGGTGTTCGAGCGATCCGAGGTAGAACAGTATATATTATATAGGAATTTTGCCGGGACTGGGCGATGAGTTCGAGCGAAGGGAGGTATTCGAGCGATCCGAGTTCGAGCGAACGAAGTTTAACTGTATATGGTAATAAGGAAACATAATAATAAATGACAATATTTTACCTGATGCCCATGACATTGAGCCCAAGAGCCTGAGCTGTTTGGAGAAGAGGAAGAGCCTTGGATGGGTGGCATCCAAACTTGATACCCAGTTCACACTGTACCTTGAAATTACTGGGAGGCAGAATTCTCAGCACCAACCTGTAGAAGGAAAAAGACTGATTAATTTGGTGTTTTACCTATGGTAAATTTGATATGTCAAAGTTATCCATAATGGCACTAATGATCCTTTATTCTGCTCAATCTGTGTAAATCAATCTCCATGCTCAAAACTTGACATGTCCATTGTAAATCTAAAGCTAAAATTAACCTTTATTTAACTGCCAAAATTTCTTAAATGAACTTGTCCAGCTTTCAATTTCTGGAACTTTCCATTATTAATTAAGGGGAAATCAAAATGAAAATTCAGAGTTGGTTTGCCAACAGTAAAGAACTTGGATCAGAATGCTTGGATGTTTTTTGTTTTTATTTGGGTCTTACCTTGCACCAACACAATATAAGTTATAGGCGGCTTTTCAGCTTTACTGATGGAGAAAGATATCACGTGCCACTCTGTGAATTATTTCAGGCACAAACGCACACTTGAGTAGAACAACTGACGTTTTTTTTAAGCTAGCTGGATAGTTTTCACACATAAAAGAATCCAAAGATGCTCGCGCCGCTCAAGAGTGGCAAGTGGTTTTAAGTTAATGAACATAACCACTCGCTCACGGTTTGGATGTGCATACTGGCCTGACTCTACTCTGATTTTATAGAGAAGTCATCCCTGCTGTCTTATTCTGCACTGTTTGTTATTCACTAAATCACTCTGTGATCATTTAAATTTACTGGATCTTATTTTTTAAAGGAGAAAATCATATATATTTATGAGGGCACTGACTGTACTTACTTGGCATTGGGGTAAAGAGCTTTCACTTTATGAAGCTCTGCCTCATTATCAAATGTCATCATAGCCACATCCTTCTTTGCCGCATATTTTAACATGGATGACTGCTTACATGGGTTGGCATACACAATACGTGTGGGCGAAACTCCAAGTTTCAGAACCTTCTGGATTTCAGCCTAGAACATTGAAGTTATACTTTAATGTTTCATATTGAATTGAGCTTTGTAACATCTTCAGTGACATCATGTGTTTCATTTTATTATTCAACTACATATCCCTTGAATCCCCAAATTTACAGAGACTTGCCCTACAGTAAAATTAAGAACACATCTTTCTTTTATAGTTACTCAATCGCATCTTCTCAGTTCTTTTTGTCAAACTTCGGATACAATAGTAAGAATACATAGACCAGATACTGTATTTCTGTCTAACCTATGCTAAGAAACTAAGCATGTACATAAACAAAGAGTAATTCAATGCTAGGAGATGAAGACTAAATTTATACCAGTAAAAGTCCACCTAAATTCAGTAAATTTACAAATTTACTTATCATTATGGTTATAGAAACCGAAAGTACAAAATGTCTACCTGTTGATGTTAATTTAGATTTGGTTATAATTGTACATCAGTGAGCATTTTAAAATTGGTTATTATTGTCAGACATTAATTTAATCATAAATTTAGAATTTATTTTCCTTTGGATGTCAATATATGATTACACCCCATCTAAAAACCAAATGATAGAACTACTTTCAATCTGTATTAATTAAGTACGAGGTCATTATTGATAATAGCTGAGATGTTCCAATTGATACTTACTATCAGACGGAGGCATTTCAAATGCAAAAATTTTTGATTATTTTCCCAGTTGGGAAATTTATGGGTCTCAATCTGGAAAATAATCATAAATTTTGGCATTGGGAATGCCTCTGAGAAGCATAAAATTCCCAATTGTCTGTCTCCACTAATGCTGAAACTGTTTTTCTTTGAGATAAAAATGTAATTTAATCATTCAAACAAGAGGGCCATGATGGCCCTGAGGTCGATCACCTGTATATAGCCCCCCCAACCATCCCCCCAACCTTGCAGGGCCAATTTAACCCAAGGGCTTTTATTTGCACAAACTTGGTAGACACCCATAAGAAGATGTTTCATGCTAAACATCTAAGCTCTAGCTCATTGGGCTTTTTAAAAGAAGATAGTTTTTACTATACACATATAGTTAAAAACAATGACACCCCTGGGGCCGGGCCAGTTTTTACCCCAGGGCTTTTATTTGAACAAACTTTGTAGACACTTACTAGAAGATGTTTCATGCTTAATATCTAAACTCTAGCTATTTGGGTTTTTTCAAAGAAGATTTTAAGTTTTTGCTATACACATATAAAGAAAATCAATGACCCCCGGGGCGGGGCCAATTTTGACCCCAGGTCTTTTATTTGAACAAACTTTGTAGACACTCACTAAAAGATGTTTCATGCTTAATATCTTAACTCTAGCTATTTGGGTTTTTTCAAAGAAGATTTTTTAAGTTTTTGCTATACACATATAAGGAAAATCAATGACCCCCGGGGCGGTGCCAATTTTGACCCCAGGGCTTTTATTTGAACAAACTTGGTAGACACCTATTAGAACATGTTTGATGCTAAATATCTTAGCCATAGCTCTTTGAGTTCTTTAAAAGAAGATTTTTTAAGTTTTTACTATATGCATATAGGGAAAATCAATGACCCCCCCGGGGCGGGGCCAATTTTGACCCCAGGGCTTTTAATTGAACAAACATGGTAGACACTCACTAGAAGATGTTTCATGCCAAATATCTAAGCTCTAGCTCTAATGGTTTTTTAAAAGAAGATATTTAAAGTTTTTTCTTTCGGTTGCCATGGCAACCAGAGTTCTGCATGGAATTAAATTCTTTGAACAATTTTTAAAGGTGACCACCAAAGGAACATTCCTGTGAAGTTTGGATGAAATTGGCTTAGTGGTTTATGAGGAGATGTCATTTAAAGTAAAAGTTTACGGACGGACGCCGGACGGACGCCGGACGAAAAGCGATCACAAAAGCTCACCCTGTCACTCTGTGACAGGTGAGCTAAAAATGTCTTAAAAAAGAATTTTGAAAAAATGGGGAAATGACACAACCATATCTACCAAAGTCTCACAAAAATGGCAAAAAATGAGTAGTAACTGACCAAAACACAGATAATGCACCACAGAGGGAACTTAAGCAAGCTAAAATTTACCTTGCTAGCGCAGTCAAAGTTGGCGCCACAGTCAGCCAAAACTTTCAATACAGCGTAATCGTCATTGCATTTTACGGCTGAAAAAAACCCCCAAAAAAACCAAATGATAGATACTTATGATTAAGAAAGTATGTTGTGAATATGTCATGTAATTCATTTTGTTGAGTTTAAAGTCACACTAGACACTTATTAAGGTCATATGGGTACTTTCCAGCATTACTGGTGGATGAAGACCTCTTGTGCTACTCTGTGCAACATTTCAGTAACTAGCAGGTAGTCAAATAAAACCAGCAACCTTTCCTTAGCCAGCTGGAAAGCTTTCTTAAATGGAAGATTTCATATTTCTTGTCAAGTAAAATCCATTTTGAAACATTTTGACCTAAGGAAGTGAAAATTGGCTTGATAGATAAAGTCTTTGCTAAGTATTGGCCGTGTAATTATATAACAATAGGTTATTTATTTTTATTTTTTTAGCCATTTTTTTGGCCAAATTACATCATACTGCATTTAAGATAACGGGGCATCGTATCTTCTTTTATCATAATATGCTATGTTCTATTATAAATGCCCATTGCAATGCTGTGAAATATTCCCATTAGCATTGGACATGAACACCTGCTTCTGTATATGTTATAGGTGAGTTTTCATAATTTCTAGACATTTAATCAATTACTTAAAATTATCTCTTTTTTTAAAGTATATTGATTAGCGATCGACAGAAAATTATTGATGATGCATCAATATTGTTTCTATCATAATTGCACAAATGTGTAAACCAGCCTGGCTGTATACTGATAGCAAACTTCCAAAGGCTAATCACTATGTTAACAGATTGGTGTGAAAGGGTCTTAACTCCTTCTTTATTTCATATGAATTACGACCCTCTGCACCAAGACCCTGAAATACATTAAAATTGTTCAATAACAAGAGCTGTCACAGGAGACAGCGAAGCTCGACTAATGAAATACTGGACGCAGTAAGGAGGACAAAACTATGAAAGAAAAATCAATTATGTATAATTATGTATTAAGTTACAGTAAAAAAATAACATTTGTTAACATAAATTCCAAGATCAATAATAATTGATCAGGAATAATTCTAGAAATAGTCATGCTAGAGTTATGGGCCTTGCCACACAACATTTGTGTAATGATAAGAAATATATATTTGAAGTTTGAAGTAGATACCTTAAAAAATAAAGAAGTTATTATATTTCTTAAAGAAAATCCTAAGTTCAAAGAGAGATAAATCTGTAAATATTGCTTCAAGAGTTATGAACATTGTCACATAAAATGTAATTGATGATAAGGAATAAGTATTTGAAGTTTGAGGTAGATACCTTTAAAAATAAAAAAGTTAAAATAAAAAATAACATTTTTCTAGTAAATAAATCTAAGTTCAAAGGGAGATAAATCTGAAAATATTGGTGCTAGAGTTATGAACCTTGTCACATAAGATGGGGATGATGATAACGTAAATATATTTGAAGTATGAGGTTGATCCCTTAAGAAATAAAGAAGAAACAGTAAGAAATAGTATTTTTTTAGGAAAATTCTAAGTTCAAGGGAAGATAAATCTGAAAATATTGGTGCTAGAGTTATGAACATTGTCACATAAAATGTAATTGATGATAAGGAATAAGTATTTGAAGTTTGAGGTAGATACCTTTAAAAATAAAAAAGTTATAATAAAAAATAACATTTTTCTAGTAAAAAAATCTAAGTTTATGGGGAGATAATTCTTGCAATATTGGTGCTAGAGTTATGAACCTTGTCACATAAGATGTGGATGATGATAACGTAAATATATTTGAAGTATGAAGTTGATCCCTTAAGAAATAAAGAAGAAACAGTAAGAAATAGTATTTTTTGAGGAAAATTCTAAGTTCAAGGGGAGATAAATCTGAAAATATTGGTGCTAGAGTTATGAACCTTGTCACATAAGATGGGGATGATGATAAGGTACATATATTTGAAGTATGAGGTTGATCCCTTAAGGAATAAAGAAGTATCAGTAAAAAATAGTATTTTTTAAGGAAAATTCTAAGTTCAAAGGGAGATAAATCTGAAAATATTGGTGCTAGAGTTATGAACCTTGTCACATAAGATGTGGTTGATGATAAGGAACATATATTTGAAGTTTGAAGTTGATACCTTAAGAAATGACAAAGTTATAGTGAAAAATATTTTACTGCACCAAAACTTTAATCTAAAATCTGGACGCGGACGCCGGGGCGAGTAGGACAGCTCTCCATATACTTCGTATAGTCGAGCTAAAAATTTGTGTTCAATAAAATAAAAAAATTTCCCCTCATCTAGCTATACACTATATTTCTGAAATGTGATCTACATGTAAGGTGAAAATAGAATATTTAAACATGAAGTGCTAAATAAATAAAGATCTAAATTGGAAACGATTGCTCTTTCGAGTTTAAATTTATCCCTGAAATTCAGGAATAATCCTAAAAACTTTTACCCATTATCTTAAAAACTATTACGAATAGATTCAAATACAATCTTTAAACCAATAACTATTTAAAACCAATTTACAAAGCAGTGCTACCATACCATAGAATGGTTTAACACGTGGCAACATCAGTCCCCATTGCTGGTACTTGTTAATGATATCACCAAGGTCACAGATAATGAAGGTATCATCTCGGTCCTAAATGAATAAAGAAAGCAATTTAAGACCTCATTGTTATAATGAACAAAAGTTTCAAATTTTTTTTTTTTAAACATATAACACCCGTGTAAGGGACTTATGAAATCAGATCTCCTAATGCAAGAACTAAGATACACGAAATGGCATAATGAAGAAAGAATTTTTATAAAATTGCATATTTGAAACGTCGCTTTTGACTGGATAATCTTGACGTTTATAAACACTTATGCTGTCAATTTATTAAGACATATTTCGCTTTTTTCTCTTAAAATAAGAAATATGCTCAGTAATTTTCCTACAGATTCCGATAAAAGGACTCTTCCTGATTGAAATCGTCTTTAAAATCATGCAGTTTTCCCAAAAATATGAACTTAAACCAGCTTTTTTACTTCCCAAATTAGCAATTTTAGCAATGATTTTTTTCCAAAATTAAGAGGATAAGGCCTTTTCCCACTAAAGTGAGAAAAATCACTGATGCTTTATTATAAATTTGTTATAAATATTCCTGACAGGTCATATTACTGTATATAAACAGTTGTTTGCAATATAGCCCTTGCCTTCTAATTTTCAAGCACTTTTCAAGCAGGTTTTCCAATTTTTAAGCACCTTTTAAGTGTATTTTCCCATTTTTCAAGCACATTTTTGTCACAGACATTTATTGTTGTTACCAATGCTTATGTTTCTTAAAACATCATAATGATAAAATTTTAAGGACTTTTATTTTGACTGCTGTATCACTTTTAAAAACAGATATTATGAGATAATTAACATATTTTACAATGTTTCTACTTGAGGAAATATTTTTTAGTGATTTTAGTACTAAATAGTCTGTTTATTGAAAATATGTAAACTATGAACTTAACCATTACCCTTTCATCGTTCTGATTTTCAGGCATGTTGTCAGAAAAATTGAAATACCTAAGTTTTAAAGAATAACCTAATGTAAGGACCGATGTTTTCCCCCAGTTTTAAGCCCTTTTTTAATACAGGGACTCAAATGACAGCACTTTGGAAGACTTGAGTATCAAAGCATTGAAGTGAACCTCTCAATTCTTAAATCTGGCAACCTATTTGGATAAATCATCATAGCAAGCAACAATTTCTATTTTTAGACAGTTTCTATTTTTAGAAACAGATGTACGAGAAATTTGCATATTTCATATTTCATGAAGCAGCACAGCTATATTCATAATGTTTAACAGACTAACATTTCTCTCAGCTAAATCTAGTCTACTATGTTTTATGTTCATTATATATTTTGCTATACCTTCAGTTATTTCAGAAGATTCTCTTACCTCTCTTTCAAACAGAGCCACTTGCTCCACCACAATGGTTGGAGTTGGTTTACTAAAGGGGAGTAACTCTACTGAACACTGATTTCCAATATATGTCTTCATTTTTGTCAAAAATTAGAGTAGAAAGTTGAGTCAGAAATGATTGGATATATAAGCACTCTGAAATAAAGATAAAAAAATAAATCCTGAGCAAGAAAACTGTAAAGGTTTAATCTTTAGTACATTATTTGTTACATTACAATGCAGGTAAAACAAAACAAAAATCTGTTTTAGGTCTCCCTACCTACATTCTATTTAACTGCCAACCCAAAACATTTTTTCTTCAAAATCTTTCCTATATACAATATAAAAGAAATTCCTACAAAGTTTTAAAAAATGTATTGAGTCAGAGACCAAAAATAGATTTTTTTTGCTAAAACAAAAAGAGCCAAAGGTGAAAAAATGTGGTAAGATAAAAAAAAAATCCTTTTAACGACTGAAAAATTGTAAACTTTATAAAGGCTCCATTTATATATTTACATAATTCTAAATTGTATCATTTAATAGAACAAATTAAAAATAATTAATCTTAAGCAATCGGCCAAGTACGTCAGTGTTAAAGCTGCATACTATAGTATATAAGAAATAATATTTGTCACTTATGATAATTAACAGGTATGTAATTAAAAAATAGCTGACTGCATAATTTCTTCATGTTATTAAAACACGAGTTTTAAATACATTTTTTGAAAAATGTCATTTTCTTTATCAAATTAATCTTACACAGGTGAGAAAAATGTACAGCCCATCCTGAACTCAAACCAGAGACCCTTAATGCAAGGTTATAATGCAGCTCTACAAACTGTACTACCTGTTACTAACAGTTTCTTCCTGACTAATGAACAGTTCTTTACTGAGATAGATAAAATGTTTACATACCTGGCCTTTGAGAACACTTGCTGTTGACCGACGTTAGCTGGGATCCCAGGGCGGATCTGCGTTGAAGTTAAGCTTTCCTAATGGAAGGAACCCCTCTGGGATTTGTGTGAAGAATACCAACCTTCCGCCCTGAAAGTAAAACATACTTTAATCAGCATTTTGGTATTACCTATTACAATATTGTGAATTTCTTAATTAGTGGCAGGGGGCGTCACATGTTCTTAGAACCTCGTGATCCTGATAATGACATTTAAGGTTAATTGATACAAAATTAGAGGTGCTGTAACCGATTTGTATGTAATGATAATATTGTTTTTTGCTGTCTTTTGTAATGATAGAAAGAAAATACTTTACAAAATAAGAGGAATGTGCACAAGTCAAAAAAATTACGATTACCCGGTAAATGTTCATGTAATGAACACGTATTGTAACCGTGTTGTTGTCTGTTTATAGAAGGACACTCATTCGTGTTTATTTTATACTATGGTAAAATGATTTGTTTTGATCTTTTAGAAATTCATAGTTTGATTTAATATCTTCATCCCATAATACATGTAAACATAAAAATATATATTGAACATTTTTCAACAAGTTTGAACACAACCAATTACAATATGCATGAATATAGCTTTACACAGTGTACCGGACACAGGTGTATGTATTTTTTCTAAAAAAACTCTAAATATTTAGAAAAAATGACATATTTGACGAACTGATATACAAACAATTATGTACACAATTATTTATCATTTGCCTAGTGTAAGCTGGAAAACCTTCAGACCTATGTTCTAAGTAAACTTTGATCGTATAATACATAATTATAGTTCAACCTCGGTTGCCTTGAACTACTGAATTCTCAAACAAATTTAAACAGGACCTCCGAGTTCAATCAAACAAAGTTTGACTATATTATATACATGTACATGTATATAAAAAACACATATCTATAAATTAAAACACTAATTAAATATATCCCACCAATAAATCATCGAAGCCACACATATGATACTCCAAATGGATAGTTGAGCAAAATTCTTGAAAATGCAACACACTCCAACATACAAGCTATCTTATCATTGCATCATCAGTAAATATAATTCACATGACTTCATCCAAATAGGTAATTTTTATTTTTAAAACCTGGTGCACTTGTTTTCATACGTCAATGAAATTCAATGCTCCATTAAATCTATGGATCAGGAGTGCATAATATATATTGATTTCCATCTGTCAATTTGTCTGTCTGTCTGTTATCAAAAAACTTTTACTCTTGGACAAATGCCTAAGAATTCATCATTGGCCACTCAAACCCTTTTTTTTTATGTTCTTCTTGCCCAAATGACCCATAAAAGCATTTGCATCGCAGCGAATTTCATGCAAATAAAGCAAGTTGAAATAGGGAACAAATTTCAAAAGAAAATGTTTATAAAAACAGATTTAACTGTAAGTGACCTCTCAATTGACAGGCCTTATTTTACAGAAAAATCCTGAGGTAAAAGAAAATGTTTATAAAACAACGTATTTAGTTATTTAAGTCAAGCCTGACAAAAATCAGTCTTTTGTGTATGTTAATTGTTCTCAACAATGACGCAGTTCAATATAATAAAAGTGTCTTAAAAAAAAATTGGGAAAATTTACCAAACACGTCATATAATTCTATTTTTATTCACAAAATATAAATCTATTTCTTTTAATTGATAAAAAAAAAAAAATCCAAAAAAAAACCCCATATAATATATACATTGTACTGTATGACTAAAATTTTTTAACTGGTAAGCCGATATCTTCACAATTTCAGGGAACTTTCATAGATAAACTGAGAAATTCTAATAGTTTTGTAAATTGGGCCTTCAAGACTTCTATTTATTGAAAAAAAAAACCAATGGGACAGGACATTAATTTGGCGCACAACACACTAACTTATATTGCATACTACACTAAACCATCTGCTGTGACATGAAAATTTACAAATGAATGACAATCGAAACTGGCTAGGCTGTAGTAATGCACATAAAGTACAGTTTATCAGGATTGCCACTCAAGTCAAGGGTAACACCATAAATTTCATTCATGACAAATTTAAATAGGTCATGACCTCTCATTGATATAAATCTAATGAAAAATTGGCCTTCTTCTTGACCTCTACATGTGACAATCTCATGATGGTAGGGTTAAAATCTGCTTACATACCCTGGTATGGTAAAGCAAATAAATAAAGCCAAGAGATCAAAATCTTGAATTGAAACTTTTATCAAAATTAAGAGGATTATGAAACATTTAGGAGTATTTAACCTTTCCCAGCTGAATTTTGGACTTGTCCAGCTTCAAAATAGGGATTGTCTATTGTGAAAAAAAAAGGGATTTCAGGTTCTATAGACTATACATTAAATGGAATAGCCAATAGTTTAAAGCCTTTGTCAGACTGGATGGCCGTGCAGGCTCTGGCCTGGCCCTATTTAGGAAGCTTAGTTAAGTGGTTTTTACTGCAAACACATCAGTAATTGTGAATTTGTATATAATAAATAAATCAGGTTTCTATTCAATTACACATTACACTGTCCTAAAATTATGAATAATCCTCAAATTTTACAATTGTAAATTGTATTCTGTTTGAAAACATACAGATTTGTATATTATCTTAAGTTCAGAACAAAGTTCAACAATTGATTTATGATCATATATACATGTAATGTTTACTATTATACAATAGTACTGGACCTTGTAACCTTTTCTAAATAAAGCTAACTACTACAATATGAATACAAATCAGCAGGATTTATTACAATGTTTTAACCAATATTTACAACTGTAACTATATGATGAATATGCACTGCTTTGAATTTGGAGCAGTCCATTCTAAGATTAGGGGATTATGATATCAAAATACAAAATTGTGCTAGTGACACTGTAACTGTATGGATTTGCAAGTGAGCCTGTGCCTCTATAAAAATGGCAATTTTAAGCTTAAATCACCGAATGTGGCGGCAGGAATGATAGCATGTAAATACATTATTGTGAAATAAAAATGTTTACACTGATGTTAGTTATATTTTCATTATTGACATAATTAAGTCATTTCTATTTTTAGAACAATTTCTTTTTCAAAATTGTGGTAGTAAAATTGGGAATGCTGCGTCGAACAGCCCATGAAATATACAAATGTTATGTAACAGAACAAGGAACATCAAATTAATTACCCCCCCCCCCCAACATTAAGTGAATGTCGCATACTGGTGAAGTCATATCATGTTATATATCCATACCTTGACAGTAAAATGCATGCATATCAAACATGATTGTGTGTAGGTTACCAGACATTGAGGTTAACAAGCTAGACTGGTAATTAAATATAAATGTCAGAATACTGTACAATACCATAAAAAGGTATTTTGTAGTTTTACACTTACAGAAATATTATATTGTATTTCTTATCATGCAAAATAGAATACACAATGTCTTTCATTACAAATAAAGTTAAATGTAACAGTGAACTTGCTCAATCCTGCATAGTTCATAGGCTAAATGTAGTTCCATGTAATTCTGAATTTTAATAGGAAACATGATAAAACACATTCTAACACGCTTCACAAACACAGAAAGAGCAATCAAGTGCATTATTATGCAATATACTCACAGCATAAAAAATGAATGCTTACACGCCATATGACATCAGATATGACGTGAGGAAAATACTTCTATGCTCAATGTAGTTCAACATATTTTTATCAATCCTCTTTTTTATCAACATGTAAGAATGGAAGTTAGTACTAAAGAGATCAACTTTTTCTTGCATTATAGTATAATGATGCATGCTTTTAATATTGTTCAAACGCTTCGTCATAAATCACTTAGGCCTATTGGCCTCATGATTATATTCCTGCACATTTTAACTTGGAACATGCATTATTCTACTCAAAATGGATATAATTATATTATACATTTCCTACATAATAATGTTATTTCTTATGTAACAGCTGATCACAGAGACCAATCAATATCAAAATCATGCATGCATAAAATATATGGACTTGATTACTAAAAGGTATTTCTGTAAACAAGACATGTATAAATCATGCTAAAGACTCATGTAAATGTATGCCCCTGTATTGCAATTTTATCTTTGGATTTGACTACACTTCACTTCAAATATCCTAACACTACCATTTGTGGGATTGTGGATTATATCTACATGTATAATTTTCACTGGCTTGGTGACAATAAACTTCCAGCTAAAATGAATTTCACAACAAATCAACATGTATGCAATATGAAATCTTTTGTAGAAGTTATGCATGTCCAAATATGGTTGGTACTGCCTGAAAGTAGGCGGAGTTTAAAAAACTGTACAGAAGTCAAAACTCCCTTCATGATTAAGGTTAAATGGTAGGATTTGTGTGTTGTCAAAATGTGACCGTGAAAACATTGAGGTTCCAGTCCTTACGTGTTAAAAAACAGCCATATGAGGCCCATGTAAGGGTTCATCAATAATACTACCTGTATACAGATTTAAGCAAACAATATGATGAAAATCTATTTAAGCTAAAACGGTTATTTCTTTTATTCCCAACCATATATAAAAATCAATTTTCTTTATTGTGTAACATAGCATGTATACATTGCACATCCACTGCATGATAATGCTTAGAAGACACTAGCAGTGCTGAGTAACTGTGTGTTTACAGACATAGGTACACACTGCTGGAAGTCACCTATCTATTAATGGTCTTTTCAAGAATTAAAGGTAAAACAGAGAACTGATAATGTTACAACATATTGCTGAATCATAATTTTCTCCCAAATTATACAGTATTGTGATACAATATTGCTTTATCCATGAACATCTGGGAATACATTTTTTTAAATTTTTGGTTAGTACTACATAATTTCAGTGCCTTGTAAATGATAAATGTTCATTACTTAATGACATAACTGAAGTCAGAAAAATGATGAATAAATAAAATATTCATTTTGAGATTTAAAGTTTGAGTCAAGATTTAGTCACTTAGATGTTACAACAGAATAAAAACATCTTAAAACGAACTATGGTACAGGTGGATACTAACTAAGAAAGACTTGAACATTACAAATGGAATTCATATTGTTTAAATATAAGTATCATGATACTTTATCCCGATACAACCAAAATATTGTGATGATAATATCAAAATACATTTTCAACATCCAGGCAACTATACAAAAAGAGAGAGAGTAATTTTGGTAAACTGTATCAGGTACAAAAATTTAAAGTGTCCCATGTTAAAAATGTATCAAGATTTTCTAGATTGTATGCCGGGTAAGGGTGTGTAAGAATCATTTTAGGAGGCAAGAGTTTAATCAGAATATGTTTAAAAATATTTATGATATTTGTACCTAGATTACTTGACTTATTGTACTGTAAATTGTCAATATTTTCAGAGTTTTTTTTTTGGAGAGTCAATGTAAAACCACAGGAACAATAAAACTTCATACTTATGTAGACTTTTATTTTAATCAAGATACTTGAATGCCCAGCCAAATCTTTGCCACATCTATCTATCTCTGAGTACTGCCAACCCCTCTCGCGAGTGTAATAGACATCTCCCAAAGATAATTTTGATAACTTTGTAAGGCTTCAAATCTAATCCAAAATGCTCAAATTTCTGGTTGTTTAAATAAAAATAAATTGCTGGGTATTTCACCTTCCACTAGTAGGATTCATTACAGGTTTCACCTTGCCTTATTAAATTCGACCTGAACGGTTTGACCCATTTCAGACTTTTTTCATAATGTCAAACAGTTACATTATCTCCATGTCTCTTGACAAGTCTTACCATGGGACTCCGTAATTATCAGCGTACTTATCATTTTCTGTATGTCTGTACTAAATTTAATTGATGTTTGTATTAACAAAGCAGAACAAATTAAACTAATCATTACATTTTTTATTGAATGAGGTCAAATATTTTTTACTTCAGCATATATTTGATCGCACATGACAAAATACTGACAGTACATAGGCAATAGAGTTGTGCTGATAATACAGAGTTAGAGTACATATTAGTTGGACTAAATTCTTACCATATGATAAAACATTTAAATATTTTCGTTTTTCTTATAAAAAAAAATTAAAATAACCCAAAATAGTTCATAAAATGATAATCCAGAATCTTTAAAATAGAATTTCTATTAGAAACAAATAGAATTTGAAAGACCCTGGATAATCATTTCACGGATAATCCCACTCGTATGACAAAATAATGTCAAAGTTCAAAGTGAATACAACAACAACAACAGACTGAACAGTACCTTTACCATGCTCAATTTCTGAATTTTCAATTTATTTAACAGCATTTATAAGAATAATTTTTCTCTATTTATTGCCAATTTTGACTCTGTCTTAAATCAATTTCATATTTATGGTTAAATACAGCTTCTAACGCAAATAAAGAATGATCACGTGGGTACATTCGTGATCATGTCGGACAGTTTTCTTAATTATCTAAGTCATTCAACAGCGTAATTTACCTGTTTGGACGTCACCGACCCCTGAATTTTTGATTCCGTTGACGACGGAATTTTGCTAGGTGTTGAGGAACACCAAAAAATATAAATATTACTGATTAAACATGAGATTCGGTCGAGTTTTCTTCTCGGGTGTTTACACCATACACGACTGCTGTCAAAAAGACCGATAAAAGCTGGATATAAGCGGCCGAAACTATACGCACGGGTATCGTAACCCTAATTGAAGCTATCTTTACGGGCACTGGGAATTAATCATTCATTACACAAGCGATAGAAATCGGAGAGAGGACCAATGTCTATTTTCACGTAAAAGTATAACAGTAGGATAACTTGTTAGAAATTGGTCAATTTTAAAAACTATTAAAGTGTTATATTTTATTACGATCCTTGAAGATCGTTATTGATGTGGCAATTTTAGGGAGTACTATTCGCCGGTCTCCTTTATCGGTAATTCCCGGTCTCTCCCGGTATATTTTGACCGGGATGGCGAATAGTATCACACGTTTATTGTCCGGTCTTATCCGGTTTTGGAGTAGATATTTTATTTGATATTGTAACAAATAAATGATTTTTTCCCAAAATTAAATGTTTGTCACTTACTTTGGTTACATTAATTAATTAACACAGATCAACTCTCAAATTTATCTATTATTATTATTATTATTATTATTATTATTATTATTATTATTATTATTATTATTATTATTATTATTATTATTATTATTATATTATACATGCAGCTATAGATAAAAGATTTACCTTTCAAATGGTATATAATATTATAGGATAAAATGTACATCCATAAAGTTTTATTTGCTACAAAATGCCTAATTTTTCACTTTTTTATAGGCTTGAGTGATATTTCAATGGAGTATATAGGAGCTGCTTATCTCTGTTATCTATGTCTCTGATTATAATTATTATTATTATTATTATTATTATTATTATTATTATTATTATTATTATTATACATAAACATACAATTCTAAAAACACAAAAACATGTTTCATTTTATTTATATGAGGTAATTCAATAATTATGTACAATGATTGAATAAAAGGTACATTTTTATGGTATTAATATGACCCAATCAACTTTGAAACATTTTATTTAATTTTGTTATTCGTGTTAATTAAAGATTCTTAGAAATTACTCGAAGTTACAAATTAGATTGTATGAATTATTGAATTGATTGATAGTTTAACACCCCTTTCTTACAGAGGTACTTAATGAAAGCTATGATTTCAACTTTCTCCATTTGGTATAAATGACACACCCCTCTACCCTCTACTTTTAATCTGTGTAAAACCGTGTGTAACTCGGTCAGTAATCTTCAATAAGATATCGATATCGTGTGTAAATGTCAGTGTAGTGGCTAGAAGTATATCGGATCGAGAACTTGTTGATCATACCTCGTAGTTTATATTACAATTATCTTATGTTAATATTGATCTTAAAAGAATCAAAATTACGATATAGAAGTATATATTTTGACATTAAAATCACGGTCCACTCTGTCTCGATCTACGAACTGCCTAGCTTGGTTCGCCCTGTCTCACGGTCCGCCTACGACCCATAACCTGATCCCCTTTTTTCAATTCCGCCAATTATCTTATCGTTTAGGGTACACTTATTCTTTTACTCGGGGACCATACGCCGCTTTTCATGGAATGACACGAATGTGTAATAGTGAAAGTTTCCCGAAATCCACTGTATGAACAAATCTGCGGATGTTTCTAAAAGTACAATCTTCATGTTAATGTTAAGGTATATATCGCCAAATTAGCGTTGTTTGTGCCAAGTGGAGGCAGTAAAATAGAGAAAATAGGAATCCCTGAAGAAAGTCCAAAAGGGCACAATTAAAAATGTTGCAGGCTTGGTTTTATTGAGCCTGTTCGTCGACGGTACTGTCTAGTACAAACTACCGTCCACGCCCCTAGCACCGGCTTAAGCAGAATTCAATATTTGAATATGAAAATGGTGAAATTTTGAATTTAGAAACACCCGCAGATCTATGTGTTCATATGGCGGTTATCATGGAACCTTCAATGTGGTACTTACGTGTCATTCCATGAATGCGGCTTATGGTTCCCAAGTAAAAGTAAATTCTTAAATGTTGAATTCTGTTTAAACCGGTGCTAGCGTGTGTGTGACGGTAACTTGCACTTTCCCGTACCGTCAATGAACAGGCTCAATCAAACCGGGCCTGAAACATTTTCAATTTTGTCGTTTTGGGCTTTCTTTAAAGATTTCATTTCTCTTTTTTTTCTTACTAAACCGTTTGCTTAAGTCTTAAATTTATTAAAATGTGCGTTGGTGGATTTTCAAAGTAAGAATTCGTCCAAGATTGCCGCCAAAAAGTTGACAAGAGCACCGCAAGGACAAGGTTATATACGCCTGAATATAAAATTGTTTAAAGTAATTAAAATTTAAATGTTAATACGAGTACATTTGTATACACCTGGAAATAAACCCCGGAAATTTAAAGTTGGTTGTGAAAGCACTGTCATGAGATAACGACTTAATTGAGCTTGGAAATAGTAATTTGATAAGTAACGATTCAGACACAAATATCCCTATGCAGGGTACTTAATTAAGTTTCTTAATAGGCTAAATCAAACCTAGCTTGCACTATTGTCAGTTTTGCCCTTTGGGCGTTCTTTATAGATTCTCTTTTGCTCTATTTTATCTCAATAAGTTATTGACAAGTGTCTGCAGAAACAAGACACAGTACTTTCTTTGCAGCTATAGCTTTCTCTTACTTTCCCCCCTGTGCTTCTTGCAAAAGTTGTTTTGCAGCACAGCCAGTTCCAATATGTTTGGCGTGCATCAATATGTTCCAGCTTTGGTCTGTGTAGTCTTTTTTCATGATATCTGCTTTGAGTTTTTTTCCCAAAAATTGTCACGAAGAATGGATTCAATTCTTTAGCCAGAAATGACAGCATCGCTGTTTCAGTCTAAATCGTTTCAAGAAAGGCTGCACAATCTTAGCATCAGTAATAAAGTACTGTACAAAATGTAGTTAGTTAAATGCTGAGCTGATCATTGAAACCATACATTTGAAGCCACAGGTTATCATATATCACGATGATTGACCGGATCCTAAGTGAAATTTCAGCAATAGATAATTATTCGTGCCAACGAGTTGAGAAATACCTCTTTGGAGACTCTTTGTTTTTATTGAAAGTCATGGGTTTCATAGCCCATAATGATTCTGTGTAAAGCACCGTTTTAGGGCCCATCTTGATACATTTAGATTAGTGTTGGTAGCACAAGATAAGTGTTGGTAGCACACTGCCTATAAATTGTACCATGATTTGCAGTTGGAATAGCGAGAGCTTTAACATAAGTATACCCTCTTTTGTGCTGTTTTTTATATACTGTAGTTAAAAATAATGCTCTTTTCTGCTCTAACCTTTGAAATATTTAAGCGTCAACGTATCTGTACATGGCTTCTGAGTGCCTACATTCACTTGTTACCAACTGAAATGAACCACCACATACAAGATAACAGCGAGTTCTTTTACTTTTTAGAGATTTATTTTCTTTAAGGTCTCTTTTCTTATGTCTCTTTAGCATTGTTTGAGCAGTGTTGAGGTCGTAAAAAGCCGCCCATGAATTAAAACAGAGACATGATATTTCCGCTCATTGAAGATCGTTCAGCATGACTTTACTGTAGCGTTTGTGTTTTTTTTTATTTTTGAGTGGTTCCAACTTGAATACTGTATATTAATCACTTTTTAGGATATGCTGCCTGCTTGTAAAAGTTGTCGTTTTTTGACGCCTTGTCTGTGTTATGCAGGAGCAGCCTTACTTTTACTTGTTGTTCATGGAATGGCACAAACTGCGATGATCTTTTAGAAAGGAAAACTTTTAAATGTGTGTCAGTTTTCACAATATTTTGCTTACCAGAACTGTCTTAAAACAGTATTGGTAGAATTGTACTGACCACAGGCCAATGACTTGATTCAACAAATATAGATAGAACATATAAAATACAAGAAAATGATTGATGCTGAATTTCTAGATTATATTTTTTTTATTAAAACCAACTTTTTTATAGTAAATTTAAAGACCATGATTTGGATACGTTAAAGAAGTACCAAATGTTTTTTTTTGTCGTGTGTGTTATCTCTCTAAACAACTTTGTATCGGTAATCTTATCTTATTGTCTTCTAGGATTTTCTTAAACTTCAACGTCGTGTGTTTTACAGGTATGTTTGTTTGTTTGTTAGGTTTATCGAGTAGGTGTAATTCAGTTTGTATAAGGACATATGTTATTTATCTTTTGATTACAAATATTTTCGATTTCGCGAGAGACGACATAATGAGTTTGAATTATTGGAGTCCATGCATCTCTTAGCTCCAGCAGGTGCGGTCGGTTTGACCCCTGGTGTTGCTTTAAGTTTGTAACACTCAAGGTTAGCAAAAATCCCCTTTACTGTTTCGGTGCCATATGACCTTAATAGTGTTGTGCGCCGTAAGATCAAACAAAAGAAAGAATACCATAACAGGTTGAGTATATATCCCTGGATGAAGACAGTCTATCACAGCCCTTCCTTCAAATACAAGCATGAACTGATATTTATAAACCTAAACCACTGCAAGTAATGTTGGTATTTGTTGATCCTGAAATTGCCTAGCTAGAATTTGTCCAAACAACTATAGAAAACAGCATGCACGCGTGCTGGAGACTTTTGGGTTGAGGAATATGTTATGCACATATGAAGTCCCGCGATTTTGCTGGTTCAAAGAAGACTTACTTTCACAAAGCGTTTCATAATATTTAAGGTTAGCAGCAAGGTAATTCGTTAATTGTATTAAAGAAAAAAAGGTACAATTTGAAATAAAGCAATTTATCAACAATCTATTTATTTTTATTTGTAACAAGCGATTCCTGTTATAAAATGATTTTTTTCTTCATTGACGGTTATTATTTATTGAATCCTAGTCGTTTAATTTTCTCAAGCATTATTGTGACATAGAATCTAAGACCTTTAAATTAAGGCAATCAACTTCATGTCTATTGCCTTGCAAATTCAAAGAATTATGTGAGACATGCTCATTGGCGGGAACTTGTAATCGTTGCAAACACATGGTTCATAGGAATATATACATATATATACATGAAGTAATCTGGATATCGATTTTCTAAGTATCATTGACGAAATTGTGCAAAGATTAAACATGTGCTTCACTACTAGACAAATTACTCTTTATATTTCTTGACAGGACTAAATTGCGAGTAGAAGTAGGTCCGATGAAGTCATCCAGTAAAGCTTGTTGATTCTACAATCTGGCTACATCACAGTGATCAAGAAAACAGTTTGTATTCTCGATAGATAAGACAGGTGGCTTTTGACGTGTTTTGCAGTATTTTTCCACATACACGTAAAACGGGCAAACATTTTTTATTAGTATGATTCAACAAATTGATTACTTTAAACATATTTTTGAAATACTCTTGTTTGTTTTATTTGATTTACAAAAATGGCATGAAACTATATTGTTACGCGAAGTCATGGATATAGCAGTTTTTTTGGTTAATGCAATTAGAAAATATGGCATAGGAAGGCCTTTCAAGAACTATCCATTGTGCAGTCGGCACAAAACTGTTTATTTTCATAGGTTCACGCCATGACTACTGGTTTTCGAACATTCTATACCCAGTAATCTCCCTTTATTTACTTGCCAATACACTGATCAGTGGATTTAATCGTTATGAGCAGTTGGGTTACTGATATACTGGTCTCGGTCAGCATTTAGTGTAGTGGAAATCATAGGAACCAATGGTTTAGAAATCATAGGAACCAATGGTTTATAAATAAATTGGATAAAATACGATGTTTACTTCAAAAGTTCCTCATCTCTCGAAGCGTGCACGTCACGAGAAGGCACGAGGTAGGTCAATGATTGCTTATCCGCTGACATGTTATGAATAACTCGGGTGGGTGGTCTCACAATGAGCTACTTTGTAAAAGAAACACGTCTTGGATGAAGATGTCGTCTCCTACCACCATTAAACGAAGAACATTAAACGAAGAACAGGCAAGCGCAATAGCCAGCTTGACAAACCACCGCTGTTGAAGGTACAGACCCCGGACAAATAAAATTATGATACATAGCATGAAAATTGTTATGTAAACGCACACTACACTGCATTGTTTTCAGGGAAAAGAAGAGAAAAAGATGAAATATTTTTAAATATAGATGCAGTATAAATAACTCGATCTGCCAAAGATTATAGGTAAGTTTGATGGCCAAGCAAAAGTTTTTGAGTTACATATAGAGAGTATCTACGACTAAAGAACTAAAGAAAGTATTTTCTAATACCACAGTAAATGCACTTTAATACAAACGTGTATATGAACGTTTACAAAGTCGTGATAAAATGATATACTCGACTTACTTTCTCGAAGCCTGGTAACATATTTTATTAGATCTTCCTCTTAATGTTATTCTATATCCAAGTTGTCCTCTTTTAGATATAATTATATGTTAGTGTTCATCCGTGCTGTTCTACAGATACGGGAGCGATATAGCGACGAATGAATACTAACATACTTAGTGACTAGCTTAAGGTCTTCAGCGTACACGTTTATATACTATGACATGACGTGAACGCTGAAGATAACCCCGTAGGGAAAGTCCACCAATAATCGTGCCAGGAATCTGACACGCTCGTATTTATTCATCGAACATGCCATGAAGTTAAGTGAAGCATACCTTGATAAAACTATATATAATCTGTTGATAAGCCAAGGGTGGACAAATAAAAATCTTATTACGAACATAAACTACCTAATAGTTTCCGACAGGTAAAAATTTCGGCACTTGGCCGCCATATTGCCAAAATGTTTGATCACGTGATTACGAGATTGACCTTTATGAACCCATGTGCCTCCAATATTTTTATAAATTACTTTTTTTAAAGATATTGAAAAGGGTGATTTACTGACTTTTATATTCAATAAAATCATATTTAAGTACTAAAAAATTAATGAAAATAAATAAAAACATTATCTTGAATAAAAATATCGAAATCATGTCAACAAAATGTTCTAAAAATAGTACACGACTCTATTCAAATCTGTTCCCGCGAATGACGTCATACGAGGTCTCGCGTGGTACCTGAATGTCATGGCCGACTATAGTCGGCGTAAATTGATGTTTTACTGTTAAATAGGCAATTTTAATGACAGTATTAATATTTTTATACTTTAATTGGTAAAGAACGATATTAAAATAATTGTTTTATCGTAAAATGCACAAGAATAGATTAGGTCAAGTGTATTTGCAAGTGAAAAACAAGAATAAATCAACTTATGTTATTCTGGTTAGGTTTCGTAACGGGTCTAATCCAAAACTTTAATGCCGCATCAGATGAAAAACAAAAATGTTAAATAGCGGCTTATAAAGTTTTGGAAGCCAGAACTACTTAGTGACAAGCTTTATTTGGCTTCACTAATATTCGTTTTATTACGTACGGCTATTTTCACGAACGCATATCTAAGATGCATTATAACAAATAGAAGGCGACTGTAAACGGAATGGGATACTGTATTGGCTTCTTTCTTCTATGAAAGTTAACACACATAATTTTTAAGAAACACAGCGTTTTCATTGGACCACAAATAAAGCTGGACACTAGCGTGGTATTAAACGTATACAGTATATAGCAACTAGCTAATCTTATGAAGAAGGTTAACATCGGACATTAAAAATTTAAAAGTAAATGTTAATTTCATAATGACATATCAATATTATCCTTATTTTGATTCTGACAATTTTTCTCAAATTTAATGTTGAATTGTCTATTTATCCTAATTTGAATCCAAACTCATTTCATATCCAAATTAAAACTTTGTTTTCATAACAAAATCACAATTTTTGATCCCGACAAAACGATTTCTTCCCCTGAAATTGACCGTGTACATAATCCTTTTTTAATCACACTAGTTAACACAATCAAAATCCAAATTGTAATTCTTCTTCAAAAATAGGTTGGTTCTTCCACGAATACATTTTTATGGTATAACTTTAATACGAACAGTGATTTGTCAGCAACACATTAAAGATATTAAAAAACACATAAATACAGGGTTTATCATTAATGTGTGTACAAAACAGTAAAAATACTCGTAGTCTGTTCTATATTGATAAATCTTGAAACAGACTTTAGTTACTGATAAGCTCCGCCTCCATAGCATGCTACATGTAACATCACTTGTGTATTAAAATTTTGGCATATTAGGACGTACTCTTGTTGTATCTTTTTAGTTAAAATTTTACAGTGGTCTATTTTACCTGGACATCTCATTTGAGATATAATATTCTCGATAATATACTTGTCATTAAGACAAAACATACTGCATAGTCGAAATTGAGCGTTGCTAGTTCATTCTTTATAATTTCTTTGTCCGATTTTCCGTCAGCGAAAACATAACACTAAAGATATAAGATAAATAACAATTCAAAAATTAGAACTGATGACATAAATGCCAAGAAAATATCGTGAAGCTATTTTCTAGCAACGACTTGAGATGACAGCGATGCTGTGGTTAGTCGTAAGCGCAAAACATCTATCTACAAATGTGCTTGTTCGTGCCCGTAATCACTTTATTCGGCGTACACGGCAAACACTAAACCAACAGCTATTATATTACCAATTTTGAATTCCACACTGACAGAATTATCGAATCTATGGTCCCAAAGACATCTTGACGTAACTAACATAGACTGGTCGTTTATTTGTCCAATCATCACCATACAAATAATTTTAAACCGGTCCATGTTCAAATGCTTAATGCGTTCTTTGATTATTTCACTTATAAGTTGGCATTTTTGTCCACCCATGTTTGGATCGTAATTCGTCTCTTTAATATTTTCTTTGAGAACAGCTAGAATTATTTCTCTTACTTTACCCTCATGGATTCTGCAGTCGGGAACCATCTTGTACGTATTCTCATAAAATACTACTGGTGTTGGAATGTCTACTGTTCCGGTACTTCTTTTGTCGTCATGGTGTGTCGAGTGACCTCTTGACAGCATTGTATCCCTCCGCGGTCTGAACGGATGTGAACTAGCAGAATGATGATGATCCCCATCGTGATGATCACCTTTGTGATGATGATGGCCGCCATGATGACCCCCGTGTGTACCGTGACTGCCGTGATGGGCTCCGTGATGGGACCCGTGGTGTGCGCCGTGATGAGCGCCATGTTGTCCTGCATGATGGCCGCCATGTTGACCCCCATGATGTTCTCCTTGATGCCCGCCATGTTGGCCCCCGTGGGCACCATGTTGACCTTTGGTACCTGGCTTATGATGCATATCTTTATGATCCTTATGATCGTGGTATTTACCTGAATCGCTTTCAGATTTGTTGCGTTTACGATGCGTTGTTGTCTCTTTCATATCTGAAAATAGAAATGAGTTTTGTTTTTTTTAAAATAAATTTGAACAGCTGTTTTTACCTCCTTTAAACTGATACATGTATGTTAGATATGGAAAAATACTGATAAGACTTTTCGCTTCCAAAGTATACGTTTCATTGTAAGCAAAAGAGATTCAATACTATTTAAAGAGTACAAAACACAGAAAGAGACGTAAAAACGTCGCTTTTATAAGTAGCTTTGAGGCAAAGGTCGGGAGTCCTACAGCCGAATACAGTTATATACATGAACATCAACTGAACTTAAGTAGTTGCATTAAAGCTGCATGTCTCCAAATGACTCAAAATATTTCGGGAAAATTAAACTTGAGGAAATTGCACTAAGCTTGTAAGTGATACTTTACTTGTTATGTGCGATAAACGACTGACTTTGTGCATTTATTACCACATTTGGCTGCGTTATTTACGCACTTAGGACAATTTTTTGCTTATTTTTACATCTGTGCATTAATTTATGCAGATTTCAAGTGCTGTATGCAATGTATAAATTATTTTCTTTGTTCACTTCACAATATTTTACTTTTAAATTTTCATAAAAATGAGCACGAATCTTGAGGCATGCTGCTTTAAAATTAATTTTACAATGTAGCAATATGTTTTTGTAAAAGGCACATTTTGCCTCAGAAACACATAAAGTTTTACTTCCATCGAAATTTAAAAAATGAATTTTATAATGTTTAAATAATTTTTTTTGTTTGTTATCTGAAGAAAGTAACGATAAATATAAAACAAATTGAAGAAAGTAACGATAAATATAAAACAAATTGTCATAAAAGTTACAAAATGTAACGAAATAGTATTTCGACTTCCATATATAATACTTATTCACTATAACTGTACTTATTGCCAAAAAACAACAGATGAAAAAGATGCTTCAGGTAATTAGCCAATGAGTAACTTTTTGGATACTATAAAAGTACACCAAAAAAAGTTTTTGAGTAATAAAAAAAATTCTGAGGCATAATGGGCCTCGCGTTAATGGAAATTATATGTATTATATGGCATTCGTTATCTAATAATGAATCATTCGGAAAACGTCGCCAAATACCAATAATCATCTCGGAAGCATATAAATATGGATTGAAAGTAATTTATTTTCCACGTGACTTCATGTAAGTGTAATCTGTAACGGATAATGAGTAACAAGTGTATAATGTTTATTAGACATCCATAGGAAAATAAAGTGTATTCGGTCATATTATGAATATGTCTGACGTTGACGTCAAATTATACATGCTTAAATTAAAATATTGTCTAATAATAATGATCTTCATCATCTAAATAATAATAATACTAATACAATTAATAATGAAAATGATGATGATAATGATGAAGATGATAATAATAATGATAGTAAAATAATAATAATCATCGTCGTCGTCATTATCATCATCATCATCATAATAATAATAATAATAATAATAATAATAAACATCGTCGTCGTCGTCGTCATCATCGTCGTCGTCGTCATCATCATCATCATCATCATCAAGAACAACGACGACGACGACGATGATGATGATGACGAAGACGACGACGATAATAATAATAGTCGTCGTTGTCGTCGTCATCTTCAACAACGTCGTCATCATCATCATCATCATCATTTCCATCATTAGCATGATCTTTATGAACAGGATCAAAGACTAAAGGAGTGTTTCCGTGTATATATCAAACATCACAATAAATTCAGTCAAGCCGATGCACTTGCATCACAAACATTTACATGGTTACAAAGTCAAGCAGTTGTCGAAGCAAGATTAAGAAAAGTAATAGATCATCTATGAATGAAGTATATTTGGAGTTGTTAAAAGATAACGCTGCTCTCAAGTGTATATTGAAGACGTGTTTAAAGTATTTGTATTTACAATATCGCCTCTTCAATCAGTCATTGATTAGTTGATAAACTGTTGAATGTATTTCTGTCAATAATAATCGACCTCTTGATAGGAAATTATGACAGTTAAGATTATCATGTCCACCGACAGGTAGGGGATTTGAAAATTTAATACAAAGATGTCGTCTGTCTTATTTGCTACTGTTTAAGTCAACAAAGGTAAACAGAGGGCTTAAGATACATGGGTCATCTTTTTAGTACAGTATTGATATTATATTATTTGGAAGTTTTTATATTCATGGAGTTTTTCTTTTTTATTTGACTGAAGTTATTTGACTGAAGTTATACTTAGAACAAGAAGTATCTTTAAAAAATAATCTCGGACGAAGTTAAACTGCTTTTAACTTGTCTTTCGGTATGCACATGTTTTTTTCACCGGGATTGCGGACGTTATTTGTTACACTACAAAGTCTTATGTTGAATAAGATATTCACTAGAACATTTTTAAAGCAGTGTAAAATATTTATTCGGAAGAAATTCACAGATCTCAAATACGAGAAATTTAACTAGAAAGTTTGTTTCCGATACTCCTTTATATTATTTTTTTAATTTGGGCGTGTTCACGTTTCAGAAAAAAACCTTTAGATTATTATACTAATTGTAGAATAGCCAGTGAGATTCCCTGATTTCAGTTTGTAATTATAAGTTGATAAGTTTATTTTCAATATTCCATAAGGCAATATAGCCCATGAGGATATACAATGCATTATATATATGGCCAGACAGACACTATAAAACGACCAATGAAAATTCATCTAATATTCAGTTCTTCCCTGTAAATTTTACAGGAAGTCAATCCGATCTCAGACGGACTTCGTCCGAAAAATACTTAAATCACACTCGTTTTTGTGTTGGTTGTACTTTAAGTCACACCGGCGCTGTGAGTCTTTTTCAACACAAATAGTTTGACCTTTTACTTGTATACCCGCATATAATGAATAAAAGTAGGCTAGGATCCAGGCTTTTTTTCGGAATTGATCGCAAAAATTCGATTTGGGAGGTCATACATATTCAAGAGGGAATTGGCATTTCAAGGTTTAGGTCATGAATCTCATATTTTTTTTGCAAAATAGTTTTTTTTACCCCTAACCTTCCCTAAGAATCCCCGAATGAATGACAATGTGCAATAAAAAAGGAAATCATTTCCAGTCATATTAAATCTTAAACATTGTGAACAATGCGACCCACATGGAGATAAAATCAAACATGTTTTTTTTTATATTTACTTTTGGTTACTGTTTTGATATTAATAATGTAATGAAAAGAAATGTTTTATATTTCCGAGAAAAAAAAACGACTCCGGAACAAGTTTTTAAAGCCAACTACTGAAAAGTTTATTCGAATAATCTTTCCTTCTCCTTCCTTTCTTTAAAAAAATGCTTTAGTTAAAATCAAAATAATTATTCATGTTTAAAATTGGATCCGGCCGGAGCAAGCCTGATTTGTATGCATAAGTATAGAACGAGGCTTCGAGTAAGAACACAATCGTGAATATTAGAAAGTTATCTCTCCTTTTAAATGATAATTTATACATTTTAAAGTCTGTATACTTGCTTTTTCGATTGTAATATGGATTATGTTGTACAAGTATATTCTTTTTATGAAAAGATGAGATTAAAATAAATAAATGAACGAATAAAAAAATATAAAGGAACGAACAAACGAATGAAAGAAAGAACGAACGAACGAACGAACGAACGCATACACGCACGCGCGCGCACAAATTAATGAATGAGAGAATAAGGTACACGTGCACGATGAAACAGACACAAAAATGCAAAGGCATGCTGCTGTAGGCCCATGCTGTTTAAGTATACTTTCTGTCAACGAATATATCTTCTTTTTTTAAACTCTAAACAATATACTTTAACAGATAAGTTTAACTATATCTTTTTTTCCCACATAAACCATAAGCTAACTTTTACAAATCTATTGATCGTCTGACAAATATGCAATCCTTGTGAAGCCGTCGTCTTAGATGAAAGCCTGTCGTAACGGAATGTTCACCCCGCATATCAACATGCAGACGTAATTCAGAACCCAGTGTCCTAGGAATGTTGATGTTTTTTTTATTATGTGTTTCATAAAACAAACAGTATGGCATGGATTATCAACAGCTATGACTAATTTTTTTTTTGCGATTTTTTTGGCGATTTTTTTTAACGTTTTTTACATACATTTGTAGTCGAATGATGCCGACACGGTGGGCCTACTGTATGACCGTATTATAATGAATTGTGCCTTTCCGAGACAGCCGATATTTTGACCGACAACGCAGGTCGGATTTAACAGGACCAAAGTTTTCCAATAGTCACGGTTTAATCTAACTACGATTAGTTTGGATGATCAAAATTTTAGTGTTAAAAAGATCGAAAGGTCATCGATTTTCCGTTTTTTTTTTGCTGTTGTTGTTGTTGTAATGCATAAAATGCTGAAATTAATTGGTTATCGTAACTGATCACTATTCGGTGCCAGTATTTTCGCATATTTTCGAGTTCTGTCGATGTTTTTGAGATATTTCGAAATGCTTTACTCTAGAATGCAAATATCCCAAATTTGACAGTCTGTATGAAAAGTTGTCTGTAAAACCGAATACGATCATTTAGGAGTGCCAATATATATATCAATTTTGACTACGGTTTCTTGGTTGTGTCATTATCTAATATACGCTCGCTTCTTAGTGCCAATGGTTTTAGGGTTATCAAGAGGAATAGTTTCATTTCGTTAATTAAATGTTTTTCATGTCAAATCCCGAATTTATATTGGTGTCCAAACGTATCGCTTACACGAGCAAATTATAGTCATATGCATATTAAAACTCGTTTACGAACTTTAGTGTTACCTAGGAGTTTTCTTTCAGAATCATAATTTGTTAACAATATTTGATGAAATTTACAACAATACTGTTAAAACAAGTTAATGAAACTATAGAATGCTTGGTTTTTAAGCCGACGGAAAAATACTTTTACAAAAACATATGTTTTTACAAAATGCAGCTTTAATTACACCTTAACGTTAATGAACACTATAAGAATGGTTGGTTTTTAAGCCGACGGAAAAATACTTTTACAAAAACATATGCATTTACAAAATGCAGCTTTAATTACACATTGAATTATATAATGTAACACCCGTAATATACATATGGGTTCTCGAAATGTATGTCTCGACTTGGTTTCCGTACTTTTTATGTAAAAAAAAAAGAACCCAAAACAACAACTTTATTTTAATCTATTTTCGTCGATTGCTTTAAGAGATAACTTGTCCGCACATTTTATTTGTAAAACATCGGCGAATGCATTTTCATAATTATCCCAATTTATTATGATGTGAACTGATCTTTCCACAGTGATAGCAATTTCTATAGTATTGAGTATTCGCATAAGTTTGTATAATTTCAACTTTTGCAATACCATATTTCTCTGCAACATTTTAAAATGTTTGAATAATAATCTTATTTTATCAATGAAATGGCTTTTGTTCGTGCCATTTTGAATGTTTTACCCCCACAAACACCAAGAGATTTAATCTTTCTGTTTATTAAAATTTAAGACTTGTTGTGCTAGTTTTGTGAAATTAATCGAGTATCACACTATCAAAGGGTATTGATTGAAATGAAATATAGACAATAGAATATCTTCACTGCAATACATATCTCAAATTAAAGTTGCGTTCGAAGGTTTTTGTTTGTAAAATACTTATTATCGCATGTAATGGACAAGAACGGGATTCACGGGAATGTCATTGCTTCCAGTAACAAAGTTCAATTTTTCTATAATTTTTCTTCTCAGAGCCAAACAATCATGGGCATAAAAAGATACTTATAAATCATTTTTAGAAATATATATCAATTAATGCATATTTTTGCCATGATACAAAATAAAATATGAAATAAAATGAAATGAATATTAAAAAAAGGTAAATAATGAAACCCCCTCCCCTATCCTAAAAAAAAACAACATCAAAAATAACGCATAAAAATTATGATAACTGTTTAATAAGGTAAGCAATTCATATGATTGTATGAATGCCTCTTTGAAGTTTTAATTAACGATATACATTTCTTGTCATCTTTGAAAAAACCACAAAATACAAAAGAAAAAAAACCTAAAAAACAAACAAACAACAAAAACAAAAAATGTACATCGTATGGTTTATCTTGAAGTAAAAATCTTTTTATTTTTTTCGATCATTTACATATACATACAGGATATTCAAGTTTTTTTCCTATAAATACAAGATATATTTTCATCGAGTATGAAAATAAAAATATTTTATGAGTGACAGTAGCCACGAGTGAAATATGATTTTATACAACAAGATGAAAACAACTCCTGTATTTATAGAATTAAATTTTCTGTTTATTATATACATTTTTCTCTTATTTTTGCCATTACAATTTAAAAGATTTCCCTAAGATGTTGTGTTTTGGCTGAATTTAGAAGAAAGTAGTCCGGCAAGACCCCAGTGAAAATACGTTAAACATTTTCACGGCAGTGGAATTGAAAATACGGAAAATGGAAATTGGATCTTATTTCATCAAAGTTTCTCAACATTTAATTTATAAGTATATAATTAAGACGTGTATATTAATTTTCAAAAGCCCTAGATATTAAATTGAAGAAAAATTGTTAAATGTTGAATTGATATATTTTTCTTTTGCATAAAAATAAAAAAAAATCATCATCATCATCGTCATCGTCGTCGTCGTCGTCGTCGTCGTCGTCATCATCATCATCATCATCATCATCATCATCATCATCATCATCATCATCATCATTATCACCACCACCACCACCACCACCACCACCACCACCACCACAACAACAACAACAACAATAGCAACAAAAACAACAATAACAGCATCAACATTAATAACATACACAAAAACAACATAATATGCAAGAATGATGTAAATATTTTCCAAACATTAAACATTATAAAGTGTTTAACAGAAGTACTGATTTTTAATAATAGCCAACAAACCTTGCGTTTTAAATTTTTAATCCTCGACTTGACTTCTCAAGTTTCGCCTCTAAGACAGATATTCCATGTCCTTTTAAAATTTGTTTTTTATAATCGCGCGCACACGTTTTGTCGCTAGAAGAAATGAAGGGTGGTCGCCATGCAATTTATCAGTTGTAAGCCCAAACAAGACCTTTTCGGATTTTCTTAAAGTTGAATCGATGCATTTAATTTTCAAAATATTAAGAGAAATATATCTTATCAGGGGTATAGCTAACTCTGTAAACGGCGATAGATTTGTAAACCATTTATCACTTTTTCGGACAAATACGTATTGACTTTATGCATGCTAAACTTAAGAGTGTCATAGAAAACCGTTATCAAAATTCGGATACAAGCCCGGTATGTTGATACATTTCTGTTTTCATTAGAAACACGTTATCTTCAAGTTAAACAAATAGCGTACAGTATATACAAATTGATCAAATTGCTACTGTTATCGGTGAGTTATGTACATTTTAATGACGGCTTTTAAACTTAAATGTGGAAAAAACAAGGTTGTTTCATTATTACGTATAGTTTAATTCCGAAAAACAAAAATCGTTAATTTTTTAATGTCCAGATACATGTGATAGCTTTAACTTTTACACGGCTGGAACTGAATGAAATAAGTCTTTGCCACCAGAAGTCCTAAAGAGCTGAACTTGCAGTCAATCGGAACATTTTCGGCTATTAAGCTTATCCGAGAGGGCCGAAAAGTTGCGACTGCCTTGCAGTCTTACTAGGCTCTTTGAAGCTGGCCCACTGACTTTAAATATTCATCTTAATGGCCGAGTGGTTATAAGGTCGTTGACTTTAAACCACTTGCCTCTCATCGCTAAAGGTTCGATCCGCGCCAGCGTCTTTAGATTCTTCATGTGGAAAAAAATCTATCAGGCTAGCTTATGGTACGTCAGAGGTTCTACTCAGGTGTCCGTTAGTGCGTGGCATAATTGTTTAATTAACTTGTTTATACTTGCTAACGCTGCATGTTTGTATACGACATCAAAGGTATCAGATCCGTTTGTAAATCTAAACAAATAAAATAACACACCTCAATTTACTTTATAAAAGGCGGCTATTAAAGTTTTTGAAACCAGAACGATAATCTCAAAAGAAAAATACAAAACTTTAAAATATACTTAAATGCACTTAAATTTTTTTCAAAACGAACTTGTTCCGAGTTTCTAAAAGTAAACAAAAGGATAGATCGACAAATTCAGATGTTTTTTTTTACAAAGCAATGGAACAGCTCTTATACCGATGCATTTTGTCCAATGCAAAACAGTTCCCCTTTAAGTGTGGAAACAACAACTTTTACCCTGGTTTCACGATTTTTTTTATCTCGGTTTGAGCCGCGTCACGACAAAACCAACATAGTGGGTTTGCGACCAGCATGGATCCAGACCAGCCTGCGCATCCGCGCAATCTGGTCAAGATCTATGCTGTTCGCTTACAAACCATATAACAAGTAGAGAAACTGATAGCGAACAGCATGGATCCTGATCAGACTGCGCGAAAGCGCAGGCTGGTCTGGATCCATACTGGTCGCAAACCCATTATGTTGGTTTTGTCATGACACGGCTCATTTTAGTTGTAAGTCCATTATTTGTATACAGAGACAATAACTGTAATATTCTTTTGAAATTAAATCTTCACACAAACTTAAATCTCTATATAGCACGCCTCAACAACCTATTTCTCACAAAGGTTGTTGCTCTGCAGTATATCATCATCATCATCATCATCATCATCATCATCATCTTCATCATCATCATCATTATCATCATCATTATCATCATCATCATTGTCGTCGTCGTCGTCATCATCATCATCGTCATCATTATTTTTATTATTGTTATTATTTTTATAATTATTATTATTATAATAACTATTTTAAATATCATCATCATCATCATCATCATCATCATCATCATCATCATCATCATTATTATTATCATTATTGATAACAAATTCAGATTACATTTATATACATGTGCCAAGATAGTTTTTTTATTTTTTCAAACCAAGAAAATAAACATAACTTTAACACGATACCTTTACAACATTACATTTTGATAAGATTAGAAAATGTTATAAATGCTTATTGAATGAATATGCACCATGTTTTAAAATGACTCAAGTACTTGTTGTTTCATTCCAAGGCGGCCACATTGTAAATGTGGTATTTTAAGTATTATCCGTTAAACGGCCATAATGAAGAATTTACTATTATCACGAAAATTGTATTTTTAAGTGTGTAAAAAAATAATCGAAAAGAGCATTTTTTCCGCACTTATTAACGACTGCATGGATATGTATAAAACATTTGAAAGTGCGCAATCCATTTAATTCTTTTGCTTGCTGTTGACAACTGTTCCTACCCAAGCGGCCAGTGCCGACTTTAATCGATGTTTGAGATGATTAAATCTGGAGACGTGGTGATTTTATTTAAATCTGGAGAAGTGGAGCTTTACTGTTTGAGAGAATTAAACCTGGAGTCGTGCTGCTTTAACGTTTAAGAGAACTAAACCTGGAGTCGTGCTGCTTTAACGTTTAAGAGAATTAAACCTGGAGTCGTGCTGCTTTAACGTTTAAGAGAATTAAACCTGGAGTCGTGCTGCTTTAATGTTTGAAAAAATGGAAGAGCGGACTGCTTTAACGTTTAAGAGAATGTTAATGAGCCTTGTTCTTTGTAAATCATTCAATCAATACTCGATGAACAAAACACCTAATTACTTACCCTTTTTAACGTATATATTTAAACTAAAGTCGCTTCAAATTTCAAAACTCTTAATTCACGGCATGTTAATAGAACAAATGCTAGGCTATGAAGCAGAAGGATTCACACGACCTGTTCTTGAAATAATACATAATCTAGACCTCATTTTTAAAGTTTGTTGATTAAGATTTAAATGATATGAACATGTATTATTTTTGAGTATGATACAATGACAATTATGTGAAAATTATTAAACAGAATTAAATAATTTAATTAGAAGAACAAAAATAAAGGGATAAAGGGAATTAACCTGAAATAGATTAAAGGATTTTTAAAATATAAAGTTCGGCAAGTGGCTATTTAAAATGCAGAAGTCACATTTTTCAGACCTGGATCGCTACTGGAACATAACACATTATCGCAGACCAAGTAAATTTGCGCCTCATAATATTCCATACAAAGGAGAATCCTTACTTGCCAGGCAGTTCGAATACTCAAATTTTCCATATACGTACGCTTACGATGTACCAAACGTAATAACATATCCTAGGTCACTGTACGGTAGAGGTTTTGGGATCCAGTCGGAATACGGTTACCGGCAACCATACGGACTCCGTTCGGAGTTGTTCGGCCACAGGTACCCGCCGTATCTGACAGACGACGAGTACGACTATTACCGAGAGCTGACATATCCTAGGTTTAGCAGATACCATAGCCCACGTAAGCCTACGTTAACATTTTATTTTATTAACATTTATAAGCTTTCATTTGGTGGAATTTCATTCATGAATGATTTGTATAAGTTTAATAGCACTTTTGAATTTTGTGTTATTAAACGAAACTTTATTTTACCGTGTACAATTTAACTCGCTTCATATCGAATTTTTGTACGTTCACAAGTACGTTATGCTCCAAAATTTTAACCTGGTGAATAAGCCAATAGCATTACGTGACTTCAATTCTAAGAATTCTACCCGGAAGAGATTTTAATAAGCTTAAAAGCTTTTAATTTCCTTCAAAATTTAGCTGAATGTTTAACCTAACTTAATATTTCAAACTATATTCACATGGGAAAATGTGCCGTTGGTAAGAGTGGAAAAATTATCTAAATTAAAAAGGTTATTCACATTGAATCAATATATATTAAAAGAATAAAATTCATTTTTGCATGTTCTGATTCGAAATTCTACTTTTATCAATATGAAAAATTTCTTTCTAATCAAGGGCTCACTTTCTTTTTCGTATGAATAAATCATAGTGTAAGTAATTTGTTTATCCATATACATGTATATACATTTCATTTAGATGCATCTATTTTCAGAGCGGATTTTGAAGCTTTCAATTTCCTATTATAGCTTTTTTACACATAAGTTACTTATCTTAACCTTTGTGTGTGTATTTTTTATCATTGTGTCGACATTTCCATCACTTAAGCAATCTCAATGCTTTGTTAACATGTATTTATATATACTTCCAGGGCACTATTATTGATTTCCGGTCAAATTGACTTCCGGTTTTGTGATGTTTTGGTATAAAGTATGTTCCTACTTCTATATATGAGGCAGCTCATCAACCTATGTACATATGCAATAATTAAGAAGACTTATCTACTATGACTCACACATCATAATGTTTGCACAAGGAGACCTACTGAGAACGAAATCATGAACGATATTCATTTAAGACACACATTATTTAAAGTGCTACTTCCCCTAACTGGTAAATATTAAATTGCATCGACTCGTATGAACTCCGAAGACGGCCTCACCTTCTTTAACAGTTAACATATTCAATATTTATTGTTTTGTCACGTGAGGATGTTTGTGTCTGTGACGTCATTAATTATGAAAATACCAATATGGCGGCATTCATACTTGATATTTAGGATATATTGACCCTTTTTGTCAGTTCTAGCCTATTAAAGCCTATTAAAAAACAATAATACATACAACAATAACTGTGATATGACCTTCACTTATGTGTTAATCCTAACATCCTCAGACTGAGTTAAATATACAGAATGTATAGCATATATAAGAATATGCGAGGGATATCGTAAAGAAATTTCTGACGTGCTTTAAAAGAAATTGGTCTATAATTTGTTTGTTTGAATTGGCTTTAAGTTACACCGACACAGTATAGGTCATATGGCGACGTTCCAGCTGAAGACCTCAGGTGCCCTTCCGTGCTTTATTTCAGGCACGATCGGGCAACTGAGAAGAACTACCGACGTTCTGTAAGTTGACTGGATAGCTTCCTCACATGGCGCCATAAATAATAATTGTTTTCGTATCAAGTGGCATAATACGAGGCAACAAACCACAAGTGGCGGCATGGCCGAGTGGTTAACGCTTCGGACTAGTAATCTAATGATCGCTAGCCGCATGGGTTCAAACCCTGACAGGGGCAAGTCGTTGTTTCCTTGAGCAAGAAACTTCACACTCATTGCTCAGTACTGGTTGGTTCCAGGAACGGATTCGAAAGTGTGTTTATAAGCTTATAGCTTCCTGCACAATCGAACTAAAATAAATTCTGTATAAACCAACAAACCACAAGACGTTATTATATATGTATATATATGTTTCTTTTTTGTTAAGTGTGAGATACATGATCCATTATTTTGTATCTATATATAGCAGATAATAAATTGTTCTAGAACAAAACATTGTTGATCATCATATAAATGTTCATACACAATCACTTTTATCTTTATAATTACATTTTTAATATGCTTTTCGTATGAAATATGATAAACGTTGAAATTCAGAATTATCATAAAGCTTTTGCATCAAGCATCACTTATCTATGAAGTGATATGCTAACGCTGTTTAGTAAAGAATATAAGTAAATTGTTACTTTTAAACTTGTTATTAGAGGTCTGTTTTTTTTTAAAAAAACTATTTTCCTTTTGGACTTTTTCTCTGTAATGCGTCGTTGATCATGAATAAAGGTAAAATCAAGTTTGTGTGTTAGACCCTTTTTAACGGCAATATTAACATTATGTTAGTTATTATGGTCAATGTATTTTGATGGTCCAGTGTGTGTTTATTTACAGTAGGTCTCTGAAAACCCCATATTTATATACAAGTATATGGACGACTTATTACATCATTTTCGAAACCTGTGAATGATATTTCTTGTAAGATATTTTTCTGATATAAATCATCAGACTTTTCTCTATTCCAGGAGAAATGACCGAATCTCTAATGTTTAAAATGTACAGATATATGTTGACAGACACAATTACCATTATATGCTTTAATAAATTTCTTCATGAAATATGATAAAATGTTTAGAATTATCTTGAAGTACTTTCATCAGTCATCACTTATCTGTGAAATGAGTGAAATGATATGTAGATGCTGTATTGCAATGAATATAAATATATTGTTACTTTTAAATTTGTCATTACATGTTTTTAGTCTATTACTTCCCCTTTGAACCTTTTAATTCTCTCTCTTATGCGCTGTTCGATCATTAATAAAGCGAAAATCAAGTTTGTGTGTTTAAGCGGCTATATTTCCACTATTTAAGTTATTAAGGTCGATGTATTTTAATGTACCAGCGTGTGTTTTTTTGCAGTCGTCAGCCGAATATTCCACATGCAATATACGAACGACTAATTCAGAATCAGTGGATAGTATTTCTTATATATTTCTGAGACGAATTTTCAGAAATGTTCTTTATTCAAGGAGAAAAACTTATTCTTTAACGTTTAGGGTGTAAATGGTGACATACAAAAGTACCGGTATGCTTTATTGTATGAACTATGATAACTACAATACAAGATGGCATTCTCATGAAACAACGACTCAAAATTATATACTGCTTCATTTCACCGTGTGACAGAATGATCATTATTGAATAATGTAATCCTGCACACAGAATTATTCTTCACATCAAAAATAAACAGACTGTCGTACCCACTTCACCTACCACATGGTCATTTCATATTCTTGTTAGGTTTTACGTCGCACCATCACAGTAGAAATCATATGGCGACTTTCCAGCTGTACTGGTGGAGAAAGACATCGGATTTCTTCCTTAGGGGATATTAATCAACCTGTGATTATTAGACGATATGTTTCATTTCTGAAATGCTTATTTGTCCCGATGTGGCAAAACATTTTATCTAAGGAAATTTCTGACATAACTTGTCATCAACTACTTTAAACTTTGATTAAATTATTGACACGCAAAGAAATGCATCCATTGTCTGACTTTAGGACTCATTCAGTCAATTGAATGATAATGTCTATGAATTTTATTGTCTGGTCTGGTCGACAAAGCTCTTTTAGATGATGAAACATGAAGCAGTTTGATATGTTGTTAGTTATAGTGACATAGTTTTAGTACCACAAGATGCAATTGTGTCTCTCTATTAGTATTGAAAATAACATACTGGTTCAGGCGGTGATAGGGGACATGAAAGATGTAATACCTTCCACTGCCCAGCAAAAATAGACGAAAAATCTTAATATTCGACCTTTCGCTATTTGTTTTGTTCTAATAAATTCTTTTAAATACATCTGAACCCCATCCCAACAGTTATTCTTTACCTAATGACTCTCGCAAAATGTTACCAATGCATAGTTTTGAATTTATCTTGGTCAAACTTGGCCTTTATTAGAGAAAATGATATATACAATTTCTGGTTTTATGAGTTCAAGCTTGACTGCCATATGATAACCAGGTGACCTACAGCACACATTCACACAATAAAATTCGAAAATATGATCCAAATTTTTTATAATTACCATTTTTGAAATAAGAGTTACCAAATCGAATAAGTATTAATAAATAATTTCCGATTCGATATCGACAAGCATTTATTAAAATCGATACAAAATCGGGTAACATGTCAGCGTTTTAATTTTGCGTCAAATCGCAAGTCATTAATCTATCCCTTAATTATCTAAAAAAAACATCGACTTGTTTTGTATATGTATTAATCTATCAATTCATTTTTCTCTTCCTTGTAACTTTTTAAGATAGTGGGACAATACAATACAATACAATACCCGTGGTTTACATAAAATATAATATCTCAATATTATAATCTCAATACTATAAAGATAGATATAAGTAAATATAGAATAGATAAAAAGAATTAATGCTAAAAAGTTTTAACCAAAATGAATTCAGTGTAATTGTTTCATTTCTTCACCCAACGCATAATAAAGATATTTAAACCATTTGAAAAAAGTGGGGAAAACCCCACAACAATTGAATAAACTAACGTCAAATATATTTTACATGCGATTTAAAAACATATTGTAGATAATTTGACAGTTGTTATTCAAATATTGTTATTTGAAACCACTTGTAAATTGGCCGCACTATCATAAAGTACATTTATTACAAAATATCAATACAAGTAACAAGTGTTTTCCAATGGGAAACATTTTAGCCAAGCCTTAATTGCCCACACATAGTTAAAATAAGGCATTACAAAATTGTTTGGCAAATGGACATGACTTATCTTTTCACAAAATTAGTAAATCTGATACCTGAACAGAATATTGCGTCAGTATTTGTCATAAACACATGCTTCAATTAACTTATTTGTTATTGAATTTCAGAAATATTTTATTAAGATAGAACACCCCTAATGGGCACTATAAAGAACTGTAAAATTGATATCATTGGGCAATTATATGCCTTAAATGTCACCTGTATGCAAAATTTAAACAAAATTTACCGTGTGGTTTATGAGTTAAAGACATTTTTCTGAACTAAAACTTTGCCATTAGAAGGGCTTTTTTCAGAAATGAGGTAACTCTAAATAATCTATCATATCATCATTATGAAAAATGTTTTCCTATTGCTCACTGTTAAGAAACAAATAATGACATTTAGGTAACAAATTTAACAAGTAAAATGTGTATAAAAATGTAACTCTACCCGCCCACTTTTAACACTTATTTGACCATTTCCCTATGTTAAAAGCCTTATTTAAAATATTCCTAAAAATTTCCACAATGCGGGGCTGTTTTCAAAGTTTGCCTTAATTTTCTGAAATGTATATGGGTTGGTCTTGCAAAATATAAAATACTTTTACCATATAGTTTTTATTTTATTAAACTTTGAAAATATCTGGTATCATATTTGCTATTAAATTTGGCATTAGTTAGTAAATAAATACCTACAATAATTATAAAATTAAAATGAAACACTTTTTTCTTCCATTAGCGATCTGAGAGATTAATAAAAAATGTTAAAAAGAAAAAAAAGAAAGAAAAAAAAGTTGCCCCTTCTGGGGTTTGAACCCACGATCAGTTTCAATACGCTTTACAGTGGTGATTCTAGTCTATTTGAATACTCTTCAAAGTGGAGATAGTGCATTAGGGGTGTGCTACTTTAAATATACCTTTCAAAGCTCAGCTATTGTCATGTGCAGATGCTGAAGCCGGAGTTACGGGGTCTGGACGATAGGTTGTCGTTACCTCTACCGTCCATAAATTGGCTCAATCAATCCTATTCTGCAATTATTTAACTTAAACCGTTTCTGGCCCTTTTAATGTTTCCACTTCTTTGTCTGTACTCTGTGGAGGATATAACCACGTACTTACAACCAGAGATTCCGAGGTCTTTTATTTATCTTTTCCACTTTGGACATGTTGTCTGCTTTATAAACTCGAAAGATTTTCAGGGTATTTAAGTTTGCATTTAGTCTATTTTTTGTATGAATGAATTGCATTTTAACTTATGTAAAAATAATTCCTTTTCAATCATGGTAGCAAAATCAATGATACAATTTTACAATTTATTTTTTCATATTTATTAGTTACATTTAAATTTACCCGCATAAAATACAACTGGCATATAAAAACTGGTATCTAGAGTAAATGTCGTAGTTTAAATCAAGTTTTGAAATAGCACAATAAACGTGATTAAATGACTTAACCTAGTAAAATGATTTATAATCGTAGTCAAGCAAATATACATGTACAGTTATGCTAAGAGAATATAGCATTATCATTAAATGAATGAAAAGAAGGGAAAACTGATTTCTAAGTAATCAATTCAGCACTGAGGTATAATGTTCTAAAAAGTATTTGAAACTGAACTTTAAATAAAAGTCACGCACAAGCAGAGAACATACATAAAATATGTTTTTGATTGTATTGGTTTATGTTTTTCAATAAATAATAATAAAAACACGCTTATAATAAGATTACCCTTAATTTGCGTTGCATAAATTGTCTATTTCAGATGTATTTTTCTTCATTGTGTCACATATAATTTTCTTGGATTTGTCGTCACACATATTTCTCCGCCCGTTCATCCTCCTCTTTAGAATTGTTTTTCTCGCCTGCTTCTCTTTCCTCGATTTTGTCTTTTGGATTAGATTTCATATAGTTTATAGGATTGCCAACGTAGTTATCTGCGCCAACCTTTTCGCTGACTTCTTGTAACCGCCTGGTATTGTCCATAACGAGCGAATACAGAGCACATAATAGTGCATTCGTGTCGGGAGGGTTATCATCCGTTTTCTGGAGGGTTTCACATACGTGTTTCTCAATATTTTCAAACGTCTCACTTACATCACTTGTACTGGATCTGAGAGACAAAACAGACCTGCCAAGTTGGAGTGCCCCTAGTGATGAACTCGTATCTGATAGATCATCCGTTCTTCTTTTTTCTGGTAAGTCGTAGAGTTTCATAAATGTTTCTTGTTTAAGACTTTGTATCGAGTCTGAAAAAAGATTTCAGTAGATCTATATATTACAATAAATGAAATAATACAATACTACTTCTTCTTGATTAACAAATGTTATGAATATATATATTTTTTAAAATCAGATAAAATACTTTGTAAAATACTGCCTATTCTATATATATAGTTGATGAAAGAAAATATCATGTGACCAAAGTTGTATCTATAATAAAACTAACAACAAACTAGAAAACGATGACAACTTACTTATTGCAATTTGATTGTCAAGTCTTTTTAAAATGTTTATAAATTTTGGCACGTCATTTTCGTGTGTACTCAGCCAATTCAAAATGATTGAGCAACAGGCTTTCTCATCCAAAGTTTCTTCAGTTGGAATGCTCTGCTTTTCAATTCGTTGTCCAAGTACGTTTGCAAATGCTTGTATGGTCATAGAACCTGAAAGTTAAGAACATCATCTTATAGTTTTATCGCAAATCTAAAGCATTTATAACATCACTTTTAAACTAAACCATAAATATTTTCTTACCAAATTTATAAACTATGAGTCTAATTCCACGCTTAGCTCGACTACCAAGATGTTCAAAACCTTCTTTTACGGTCTCATTTGCTTTGAAACCCTCAAATGCTTCTTCGATTGATGAGAAGTCGTCTTTCTCCGTTGGTATTTCAACCATTTCTTTCAATTCTTCTATCATTTGTGTTTTGACACTTGCTGATCTATTTTCTTGCAATTGTTCCACCATCGAATGTATCTTGTGTAGGTATTTCTACAAGGTAATAGTACAAGGAGCGTGACTTTTGATATCAAATTTAATTGTAAAATCTTCCCCACATAATAACGTTTGAAAAAATGCGGTTATTTTGTCTACAAATAATTCTTCCAAAATGCTAAAACTATCTGGCAAATGGTTTGTATTATTAACTATTTATTAAAGCTATAAAACTTTATTTTTCTTTTAATTGCATTTTGTCTCTACATTTAAACTGTTCCGTTTGACGTTTTCTTTATCACACATTTTTGACCGGTGGCTTTGGATACCATTATTTTATAAACTGAATTACTTAAACGTAATTAAAATTGACTTACATCGTTCTTATTGAGTTTGTTTTCTGATACCGTAAGCATATGTATCATTTTATCATTGGCAGATTTTATCATATCGAATAGTTTTTTGATCATCGGAATCGGGTCTTCCCTATCAATATCATATTGGAATATTGTATTCCCATCCCCAAGTTGGATACTGCAGTCCGTCATGATGGCATGAAGTTTTTGTCGTTGTTCTTGGCGTTTCTATTCAAGAAAAATGAAAATATCAGCAATATTCATTTGTAATGTCCCGAAAGCTCAATACAAACATTAGTTATGGTCTTCCAGAAAATGTTCATAAACTGTTGAGGATTTTAACTTTGAAATTGGTGGCTTTCATCAACTTTAAATGAATAAAGTGCTACTGGTATGTATAAATGTGAACTGAAGTTGAAGAAAGAGATAGCATATTTGCTAAAGCTCTAGAAAGCGATAATGTTCCATAACATGAAAACATGAATTAACAGTCATTGGTTCAAGTTAATCTTTCGGTATACCAAATAAAATTGCGGACAACGACTCCCTACTGAGGAATAATTATTGCAAATATTATTGAACTATCAACTCATTCAAATAATAAATAAAATAAAAGAATAAAAAGAAATACATGAATGATTTCTTATACTATTAAAATATTTTTAAATATAACAATTTTGATCAATATTAGACAAAATATAGAATATCATTCTTATTACTTCGTTTTCACGGTGAAACTGCCTTTAAGATCCTCATTTTCCTTTTCGAGGAAAGCAACTCTGGTACTCAATCAGTATTTTTTTTCTTTACATCCTTATACGCCCTTCCACTTAATCTATTGAAAAATCCTGCCTTATCGAACTCTGTGCCTTTTGGGTTGCCAGTCTTTTCTTCCTTCGTGTAGCTCTTTCAAATGTTGTATCTAATTCATCCCATTCTTCGTCTTCTTCTTCTGCTGAAGAGAATGCTGAATTGAGAGCCATGGCCCTGCAAAGTATTGTCGGGACCTTACTTATTTAACAAAATTTTAAACTACACTATATATTTGGTGCACTTTTGTGTAAGAATGTTGTTAAATATAACGTTTTAGTTCAAACGATGACGATTTAATACTTCTTAATGCATGGACACCCGAGACGAAATAAGATATGTTCAAACTGATTTTTTTTGTTACGAATAATAATAGAGGGATTGGCATTTTTTCAATCCTAAATCTTTTGGAAACCCACCTATATCTTTCCAATATTTTAATGTCACCTTTTATATATGGTATCGAAACTGCTGTAAAGTATGGTTGTGTTAGTATTGTAATGTATACATACATTTTACAGATACCATCTCATATAAATCAAATAAGATAGAATGCTTATAAGTTTTCCATTAATGGTCTACTATCGTAAATCGTAGCCAATCGTAAATCTATAATGTTTAGATGACAAAGTTTTAGATACTTGTTACCAGAAGAAAGTAGTGCTTCATGTGACATAATTTATCATGAAAGTAGCGAAATGTAAACAAAGTTGTTTTTTTTCCAGATATACAATATACAGGTACAGATATGCAAAATATAAAAATAAAAAAAACAACAAATTAATAATAATATAGAAAAAAGGAAAAGAATAAAGTAAATAAGTATAATAATGAAATATAAATAAAAAAATGACATAAGAAACAGATGGCTGTGGTAATGGGCCAATGGGTATCATTTTTAAACTATAAAAAACACCAAAGATAAGAAATGTTTGAGAAATCAAAATAAAAACATTTCTGGTGTATACTTTGCCTTTAATATTTTATATTTGTGTTTAAAACAAGTTTCTGTTGAAAACTTTATGTGCCTTACATTATTTACTTTAAACGGGAAGTAATATAAACTATGCGAAGTATAATAATCTGACTAGTATTTTTTTGTGTTAGCAAGGCGTATCTTGTGCTTTGTTAGCACGTTTAATATCTCAGATGGTATTTGTAATTTAGAAGCAAGAAAGGCGGCTACATCGTTTAGAAATTAGTATTGCTTGTTTTTCATATTGCTATGAAAGTTTTAATAAGCAGTACCAATGTATAAAAACAGACACAGATTTGTTCAAAAAAAGTAACAGAAAATTATCTACCTTTAACAAACTCCTTAAGACTACTAGTATCAAATACAAATAATAACAGAGATTTTATCAATGATACGATAAAGATTTAATCTTAAGTATGTGTTATTGAAATATTTAGAGCTGATATTTAGATATATTTAGTGTCTTTTCTTCTGTTGTCATAGTACATACACCTGATGCTGGTCTGTAAAAATGATACTTATTGGTCCGGCATTTGATGGGTGAAAACACAGATATTGCGCTGCCATTGTTATAATATAGCCAGGACTAAGTTTCACCAACAAACAGTTAATGTTGTCTCCGATGTACCTTTCAGTGGAGAGCAATTTTCAAACTTTTAAATAGTCTTTGATATGGAAATTTCAAAGATTATACGCAATTCTCCAAACAAATCCCGTGAACTTGACCCCATTCAAACATGACTGATGAAACATTGTTTAAATGAACTTTTACATAAACCAAAATCAAAAACCTTCCTTTGGAAGGCCTTGTACACCCACTTTTAAAAGTTTAGAGTCAGCCCTTTAATAAAAATCAGGGTTTATAAGAGGTTAGAAAAACTCCCGGCTGTATTTTATTTCCCGTTTGTCCCCAAAATTCTCGAGAAATTTCGTTTCCCCAATTAAACAATCTACAAAAAACTTCTTATATGCATTTTTTAAAAGATCTGCTCTATTTGTTAAAAAAAATTTTCTGTTTCTGACAAAAAGGAAGCTCTTGCTAAAATTTTGACTTATCTTTTTTGATAAATCGCATTGAACCCCCCTTTGCCGATCGAAAACCTTGGGAAGAAAGGCAATTTTTTAAATTTGATAAAATGTATCTGTGTGAGTAATAAAGTCTCGTAAGGTACTGCCAAAAATGTACGTACGACATTTCCTGTGCCACAAGGGTCCGTTCTTGGCACGAAGAATTTCATCATGTACACCAAACCTGTGGGAGCGATCTGTCAGAAACATAAAGTTCAACATCCTTTCTAAGCTGACGATTCGCAATTGTACATGGCATTTAAACCATTAGAAACCATTTCACACAATGAGAACCTGCGACGAATTGAAGCATGCCTGAATGACATAATTTTATGGATGAATAATAACTTTCTTAAACGCATTGCAGACAAACAAAGAGGTGATTGTCTTTGTACTAAAACGAAGTGATGTTGAATATCTTACTGTAAGAGCAGGTGATTCTGTAATAAAACCATCAACTACAGTTAGAAACCTTGGTGCCGTACTGGACTCTTATTTAGAATTGGAACACCATGTGAACTCAGTTTCTGGTTCATGCTTCATGAAAATTCGACAAATAGGTCAAATTCCGAAATACCTGACTGTTGATTCAACCTGAACCCTGATAAACTCGTTAGTGACAAATGTAATTCATTGCTATATGGATCTCTTAAGTACGTTCTCAACAAGCTCCAAAATGTTCAAAATAAGGCTGCTCGTGTTATTACCACGACACCCAACCCTTGTGTTAAAGGAACTACATTAGCTTCCTGTGCACATCAGAGTCGAGTACAAACTTGTTTCGTGTGTTAAAGGCGCTTCACGGACTGGCACCTACCTACATATGAAACATGCTAGACATGTTTACCCAATTCAGACAACTTAGGTCCCAGAATGATTGTATAACACTGGTTGTACCGCGTAGTAGGACTGTGACTTATGGTGTTTATGCGTTAATGACACCAGCCTCTAAACTCTGGAATTTCCTACCTAGAACAATTAAAAGCTGTCGAAGTCTACCAGTGTTTGAGAGAACACTTAAAACTCACTTATTTCAGAGTTTTATTTGGACTGATTATATTTGTACCAGTGCCGCTTTTTAACAAAGTCTTAGCTGTAGTTTATTTTTTATGTGGATCTTTTAACTTTTTAAACTACATTTGATTTAAATGTGTGACTTGAGCAATATTGATGCTTTAGTTTTTTTAAATAGTGTATCATTTAATTTGTTTTCTGTACAGTACTTTTGTACGTGTTAATGTGCATGAAAAAGTGCTTAAGAAATTTGGTATATAATATATAAAAATAAAAGTTACCATATGACTTCGAAAAGGTTCGTAACTTTAATAGACGATACTTTGAGCACTATGCAAATTTTGACAGTTCAATGCTCACCTACTATCATTCTATACTGATATTGTATATTGTTACAGATTTCAATATCATGATTTAGTATATACAGTTGTTTAGGCAGTAGCGGATAACTAAGGAGATCGACGCTGCTTATGTCTTTAATAATAATAATGAGAAAATCAAATCAGTACCTTTCAGTAGTCAAAATACTTACCTTTTAAAACAATTTTATTTTTCAGCTATAAAATTAACTTTACATGTTGTATTCTTTGTTTATGTTCGGCATGTAATTCAATTAGTACCGGATAGCTTTGGGGAGTGTGGGATAGGTAGGTGATGGTCAATGAGGGGACATCTTAAAACGTTCTAAATTTAGTATTTATAAAGTACATATCACAGGAACATGTTCTGGAGTTATTTGAATGAAAAATGTTACATTTGGTGTTTTTTTTTGTTTGTTTGTTTCATTTTACGCCTTTTCCCAACAGTATTTCAGTCATATAGGCGGGTAATTTCCGAACCATCGTTCCTGGAGAGTTACATCAGTACTAGACTACATTCAGTGGTAATCTTTCAAACTTCTCAACATGTAAACCGAAGATATATATTTTATGACACATGATATCATTTTACAAAAATGTTTATTCAGATCAATGATAATCATTTCCACTTAAAACAAATCACAGAGAAATCAAATAGAATCATATCACATTAGTATAATTATCAGTTCGTCCATAACACTTCATTCTGACATATTGTAAAGTGTGTCAGATAACATATGAACATTTTCATACAAATTATTAACAATAAATGTATAAAAACAAGTTATAACAAAGCCGCCGACTTTTTCATTTGAAGCTGGCCATGGTGGAAAACTGGGAACTGGTGCACCTGTTGCAGTGGCAAAGATTTATCCACCACTGTCAAGCACATTGCGAAAGCAACTTGCTAAAATCTTTGGTACATGGTCAAAAGGTAGCAATATAATATCAGACAGCGATATCGGACAGCGTTTATCTGTAACCAAATTGTATAAATGTTTGTCAAATGATGTTAATTCTGGCATCCACACTAGACAGGCATCTATGTCTGAAATATTAGTATATTCCCTGCAATAATTAATCTAGTCTTTGTTTCAGTGAGAGGAGGCCTTATCTTGAAAGCATGACAGTTTTTGTTTGTTTGTTTTGGGTTTTGCGTCACATCGACACAGTATAGGTCATATCGCGACGTTCCAGCTTTACTGGTGGAGCAAGACCTCAGATGCCCTTCCGTGCATTATTTCAGGCACGAACGGGCACATGAGTAGAACCACCGACGTTCCGTAGGCTAGCTGGATAGCTTCCTCACATGAAAGAATCCAAAGTCCCTGTCGGGATTCGAATCCACAGCGGTGAGGAGCAAGTGATTTGAAGTCAACGACCTTAACCACTCGGCCACGGACGCCCCTTAAAAGTATGACAGAATTTTCTAAAGTTATAATTGCCTGGTTACTGTCATGGATAATGGAACTAGTTGATGGCACTGGTTCAGTTGTTGATACCTAAAAGAACAAATAAAATAAGTAAAATGTATGTAGAACGTTCTGTAAAAATTAACTTCAATATGACATTCTAAGACTTTTCTGTTCTGTAGAGATTAATTTATGAAATACTTTAAACAGCTGTAATATGAATGATTAATT